CCCGTACATCCATTTCACGCAACTCACTTAAGGATTAACCTGCAGAAACCAAACATTTGCTCAAACAAGACTTCCTACACATCTAAAACCTACAAACAGCAAATTATTGAATTCTAGGTACTTAACCAAACATTTTCAAACCAAAAGGAGTATATATGTTAACAAAACTTGCATTTGACTTACCAATTAACAATGGGCACTTTCATAAGGCGGATGCAGGTAGGCAGCGTCTCGAATATATTGCTCTAGCCATATAATACCGAAACCACAAGCCTACTGCAGCTCTATCTTTATCGGTGGGAGGTAGAAACTCTGTGCTTCCCGTCGTCAAAAGCGCCAAGCACAAGCATACAAGAGGAGCACAATCCCCTATGGCTCCCGGCGATTGTTGTGGCGCGGTCTCGTCTCTGACAACTGTGACATTGAACTTCTTTGGCTTCTTGTGTCCAGAATGAGTCCAATAATTAATCCCATCCAAGAATTTAGCCAAATGAGAGCTCCATCCATTGATCATATCTCTCAAATCAGACAGTGATATGTAATTTATCATGCTGTCATACACTATTATCTTCAGGGATAGGAGCTGAAGTTGGATGAGAAGCCAATGACGACGTTCCAAAACAGGGATAAACACCTGCAATCATAAGTAATAATTCATTTATTTGCGCACTTATTTATGAACACCTTTAAAAAATTTAAAAAATAAACAATAACCTTATCGACCTCCTACCATGCAGGATAAAGTTTAGCTTGTCCATTGCCCAACGAAAATGATTCATCTCGTTGATTCTTCAAGTGAACTGCGTGAAAAGCCGCTGACATTATTGTATATCGCAATTTTTTTTTATTTTTCCTAAGCTTCCTTATTATTAGTAGACGTGACACCCACGCATCGATATGCTGTTTTACAAAAAAATACATATATTAGTGAATTACATTAATTTTAAAAAAAAAATAATCAAAATCATATATAAGACAAATATAAGACTTACCTCCCCATCGAAATAGCCACTGTCTTCAACCCCTAATAGCACACCCCACCAAGACCGATCAAGCAACAAAAACATTTCATCGTTGAGTTTACTTATGTCAATGTAACACCCTTGGCTCCGCTCATGTAGATAAAAATCAACTGCGGTCTTAGCCCAAAGGGTATTATCCACAATTGTTTCCGGTAGTTGTCTCCTCTCCACTTCAGATACCGGAAGGGTACTAGCCGGTAACTCATACGAGAGCCAACTCTCATCCATCATGTCCGGAACCGGTGGGGGTTTCTCAATACTTTGATATATTACCCCATGTGAATCGGACTCTGGAATGGTGGGAGGGATCTCTTCAACGATGACAGTGGCCTCTTGAACGGTGGGGGAGACTCTTTAGGGAGGATAGGGGCCTCTTGAACGATTGGAGGGGACTCTTGAGGGATGACAGGTGAGTCAGGCTTCTTCTTGCGGAGTCTTCGCACCATTGGGGTGAACGGAGACGTAATAGCACGTCCACGCCGTCTGATGCGTGAACTCCGTCGTGCAAGGAAAACCCGACGTAAAGCATCCACGTTATCGAGCCGCTAAAAAAATTAATACATAAATCAGTAAATAAACAGACATGATATTAAACAAAGACAAATATGTTTCAAACTAGCATTGTATTCACCCAAGTCATTATTCTATCATAGTTCACAAAATGCTCAGATAACATTCCAGAAGTAAGCACTTATATAAACATTTAAAAGGACAACATATATAAACATTCCAGAAGAAGAATAGTTTACTTTCGCAACACGAAACTTAAAATCGCAATGCGAAAATGACTATCGCAACGCGGAAATGGCTATCGCAATGCGAAATGAAAATCGCAACGACAAAATCGCAATGCGAAATGAAATCGCAACGACAAAATCGCAACGCGAAACACAAATCGCATTGCGATTTTCATTTTCGTGTTGCGAAAGTAAACTATTCTTCTTCTGCAAATTGAAACTTGAATGGATTGCATTACTTCAACCAAAAGACAAAAACAAAACCAAAAACAAATACTAACAAAAACAGTTTAGCAGTATTGGCAGCAACCGAATGAATTACGAGTATGAAAAATCTTAAACTTACCTCGTTGCGTAGAGTATAAACCTCATTCTGCAACGATGCTACCATCTCACGTAGAGCGACTACCTCACCGCGTAATGTAAAACCTCAACACGCCATGCACCATCGTCTTTGCGTAAAGTACCGACCTCCTCACGCAAGGCATTGACCTCATCACGTAACTCCCCTAACTCATCCCGTTGAGGTGGAGAACAGGGAGATAAACGTCGTGGTATCTTTGCCGGTCGCCTATCTTGCGGTGATGGTGGAGAAGAGGCTCGATGATGTGATAGAATAGGTGATGGTTGTCGTTGTGGAGGTGTATAGTCGGGTCGATCAGATGATGACTCTGGGTGAGGTGATGGCTCCCGAAGTGGAGGTTGCTCATCAACCGTTCCATCAAAAAAGCGCTTACTAGCTTGCCACCAATCAGTGGCAAGCTCAGCTTCCGTGGGTGTCAGCCTCTGTAGAGGAGTGTTGGCCTCCTAACAATATAAAAGCTCAAACAAAGTTAAACGTGTACTAGTAATAACTTGTTTATAAACATATGGTAGTATTTATGTTAACTTACATTATTTATTGTCGTATACCGTAGTAAATCTTCCCATTGCAAGGTCCGTTTCCTCTTCCAGGAAATAGCCCTGGGAATATCATTTGAAGTTTTTATTGCATATGTCTTCATGGCGGGAAAGGCCTCAAATATCCAAATCTACAAACAATATAATAACAAACATTAGTAATTGTTAAATAATTATTTATAATTTTGGAAACATTATATAAAAATTCTTACCTTAAAAGCCCAAATAAAGCCTGTCAAAGTGTATTTGGAACCATCGCCATGCAAACTTTTTCGATCATCCAAGGCAGACGATAACTTATTCCATGTAGCTTTCCATAAATACGAGCCCCACGGAAACAGGTTCCACGCATTTAGGTCTTCTACCAATTTTATTAGATCATTTGGAATAGGTTGTCTGGCCTCTCTGCCTAAAAAGCCAGCATGCAAAAGAATTAGAAGGCATACTCGGACAACGTCGACGTCATCCATCCGAGTAAAACCATCTTTCTTATTCAACAATCTTGTCAGGTCTTCTAAGTGTAGATTCGGCCTCTCCAGCTTAGGAAAAACCCGGGATAGCCATGATGGGCGGGTAATGTGTCTAGTGTACCGACCTACATCATCGTGTCCGAAGCGTAGACCGGTGATTAAGCAAAACTCTTCCGCCCAAAACACGTATACGCCGGTGGAAAATCAAACCATATCTCTTCATCACGACGTTGTATAGTCTCTGGTAGATCGCTAGTCATGGTTTGAAGAAACAGGTGTGTCAACATCGCATCTCCACCGGGATGTTGTACTTTCAGCCATGGCCCGAAGCATGTATCCTCAAACATTTTTCTTTGTGCAGGTGAAAGCTTCGACGCAATTGTTTTGGCCAGGCTGACTTTATTTCTTAAGGTCAATTGAGCCGAATAAAAGTTCTACAAAAACAATAAACATACTAAGTTAGATATACCAAAAACTACACTGTGAAGATATTCCAAAAACAATAATAAACATAAAGAGTAGTAGTTTATTCTTCAAACTTAAATTTGCAACACTGTGAATTTCGTATTTGTCTTTGTTTTTTGGTTGAAGTAATGCAATTCATTCAAGTTTCAATTTGCAAAAGAAGAATAGTTTCTGAAAATAAAAATCGCAACACGAAAATGACTATCGCAACGTGAATTTGACTATCGCAACGATAAAATCGCAACGCGAAACTAAAATCGCGTTGCGATTTTCATTTCGCGTTGCGATTCTCGGTTGATTTAATAAGCAATCTAAGTGAAATGGTTAATCTATTATTGAAATTACTAGTAAACTTATCATCAATTTCAATATGAAAAACCTAATAATAATGCAAAAATTTCAAAAAGAAAATAATTAAAAAAACTAACTCTCGTTGGTTGATTTTCTATTTCTGATTGTGAGGGTGACTCTGAGAGATGGAGATAGACGGATTTCGCAGGAGATGGGGACGCATTTCGTCGGAGATGGGTGAGAGAGTGAGAGATGGAGATGAGACTGAGTTGTGATTTTAGGTTTTAGGTTATGAGTTGCGATTACGGGATATACTGTGGACTGTTCAGTGTTCCAATATATTAATATTCGTGTTTGGAATTTAAAAATAAAATACTTGGTCAGGATACTAATGGCGCTTAGAAAATCGCATTGCAATTATGTATTATCGCGTTGCGAAAGTCAGAATCGCGTTGCGAAAGTCAGTATCGCGTTGCGAAAGTCAGTATCTCTTTGCGATTTTGTATTATCGCATTGCGATAGTCAGTATCGCATTGCGATTTTTTCAATTCGCGTTGCGATTTACTTATTCGCATTGCGAATTGGGAAAATCGCAACGATACTGTAGACCATCGCAACATGATTTTCAACTATCGCAACGCAAATTTACGATAATGGAGATCGCGTTGCGAATTAACGATCACATTACGATTTTGTTTATCATTTTGGTAAATCCAAAAAAAATTAGTTAAAATCGTAAATTATATGAGATTTTTGGTCACTGTGGTTATTTACTCTTAAATAAAAAGGAAAAAAACAAAGTGAATGGGCAGCCAGATACCAATACCATTGATATACGTTGTCAGATCCCCCATGTGACAAGGTGTCCCCATACCCTCATAAAACAATTATCACAACACCCTAAATTCACCTTTAATCACATGAATCAACCACCTTCTCTTTTACCCCATACTAAAGATACTGTAATAATATCAGCAGTAAGAACATCAAAAAGATGATTAAAAAAGGGTCAGAGTTGTATCCCTTCTCTCGGTCTTCATATCAGTATAGTAGTTATACTTCAGCATACAGATCTTTTCACCTCACTTTTGAAAAGAGGGGTAAAAAAGGTTGGTAAAAAAACACAAAGGGAAACAGTAAATATCACAGTAACACATAAAATAAGTTACTACTAAAGCTAGCCTTTTGTTTATATATTCTACTGTTTTAGCAGCGTGGTCCAAGCAAAGAGGAAAGACCCCACTCTCCTTAGATCAGTTCCTCCTGTCTTTTACCTATACATTTATGTATTTTAATGCAGTCTCAGTATGTATTGATGATGATGGTGATGACGATCTTGCTGCAATCTTGTCTACAGATCTCTTTCTTTGTTTTCGGTATGGCTTTGACTATACAGCTAGAGGATTTTTTCTATTTCTTTTAGTAAAATTCTTCTTCCAAATGCTTTCTGCAAGATGTTAGAAAAAGAACAGCAGTTTCAACATCGTGAGAAATCGTTAAATTTGGACAAAATTTTCCAACAATCTTAATGTGTCTTACCATGGCAAACTCGAATTTTCCTCCATTGCTGGATATGTCGAGAGCTTACATTTCGATGGCGCCTTGTCCAGAAGAAAACCTTTGTAGCCAAATGAACAATATCACTAATTAACTTCCCTTTCTAGCCTTTGGAATTGTAATAAAAGGAACGAGGTTATGTTTTACCTAGGGAGTTGTAGAAAACATGATTTAAGTGAAGCCACATTGAGGCCGGAGGCGTTGGCCAGCAAAGGGTTACCGTTGGAAGATGCAGTCGGACTCCCAGTTTTGTCGTCAGCCTCTATAGAAGATGTAGTGAAGACGGTGAGGTGATCGCCGGTCAATTTCTTAGGTGATGCAAAAAGGTTATCAGGGAGAATATGCTCCAAGCTGTTCATATGACATAAGGGCCTTTTAATAATGCCAATAAAGAATGAATATGCTAATCAATTGTCAAAAGGCCGACCAAAACAGATGCATTATATAGAATCAGATTCCGGTAATGTGAATATTTAAATGCCATGCGTTATACCTTTCGGGGAAGTCGTTTTCTTCCACGTTGGCCCTCTCCTTATTAATAGCATTTCCGTTTTCGTTTTTATGATTACATGACAGATTAACTTCCTCGTGTGGCTTATCAGCATCGGTAGCAGCTGTCAATTTGGAAACAGCACCAATCAGGTTACCAGCATTATCTGCAGGAAAAGCAAAAGCAAAGCAAATTGAATAATGGAGCACTAAAGTTATTTTTTAACTGTTCTGATGTTGTAAATATGTAACCTTCATGAGTTTCTTGATCGAAGACGTCAGATGGAAAAATGCGCGCTTGATTGGTGGGAGTACGGAAAACAGTTGGCGATGGAATGGGAGAGCCGGTGGACAAATCATGATGGAAAGGAGACTGGCGATGGTTTTTGAAATCCAACATCTGCAAATTCATTAGCCTTCTTCCTTGAAGCTCGATGGCTTGTTGTAAATCAGCCTGCTCCTCCAGTTTCCTTTGCAACAGCATCTCTGGAGTATTGTAAAACATTCTTGTCCCTAAACAAATTCGAATCGAAACGAAAATAAAGCTAGCAAATATGTACTGCAATTCAACATAAATTCAAGCCTAGTCTTTTTCTGTTTTACTCACTGAGATGGAGATCAAAAGGCTCCCTCGAATCCACCAGGGTCGGACTTGAGCACGCCGAATACTCTCCTCTCTCCAATTGTTGTTGCTTCCTAATCAATAAAGATAAAATCATATCAATGCAGATAGTATGCAAACATGGAAAGATCTAACAACGTAAACCGAGAGCCTTTACTTCTCTTGGACTTTGCCCTTCTCCTTGTAAGGCTTAACAAGAACACGAGAATCGCAAACGAAATGCGGGTTCCCTTTAGCTAAAATGAGCTTCACCGTCTCAGGATACACAAATGTAACAAACCCAAACATCCTCTTTTGCTGGTAAGGTATCCTAACATCTTGTACTGGTCCATATATGCTATGAAAAAAGCACAACCAACCTTAATATTCAACAACGGAAGCTCAAACCAGAAACAACAATGGCCTACACAAGTAAAAAGCTTATAACATTAACCTGAAGTAATTTGAAACATCTTCTTCTTTGAAAGTACTGTCAGCTGGAAATGTCAAATAAATCTGTCTAGAGCTTGGATTGGCTCCCATTTCGGGCCGGCATTGCCCGTATTTATGAAGCTCATCTCCCATCATCAATGCTGCCGCTGCCGCTGCCGATCTGTAAACATAAAAGACAAAACCAATGGCAATGCCACAATAATGAGTTGAAGAACAAGCTAAAAGAAAAGCTATTACCAAGCAAGATAAGCTCCATGCATCTGATTTCACCTATGAGTTTCGTTTTGTTGTTGCTGGAGAAGGTAATTAACACACTTGTTGTAAGGGAAAGAAGCACCGCCGGGCAGGAACTGTGAAGACGAAGCAGCTAACTTTTGTTGTTGTTGTTGAAGAGATTTCGATCTAAGCAGCTCTTGGCACTGTTCTAACTCGGTCATGTTGGTAGCAGACTCAGCACAGTGATCTCCATGGATAAACCTACAGCTACTACCGTTCTTACAAAACCCTCTCGCAAAGTACAAACACGGCTTGAACCCCAGCCTGGAATTCAGATCTTCAGCTCCTAAACACAGCCCCGGAACCGAGAAACTCCGCCTATGCAACGGAGAATCAGCGTAACAACCAGTAGGACTAGCCATTGAAGCCAAATCCAGCCTCGGGTCGAACAAATCTTCAGGCTTCGAATCGTTGAGGAACGAGAGACCGTCCTGGAACTGGTAGTCATCGACGAATTCATTGCTGCTGATGTTACTGGTACTCCCATTGACGATGCTAGCGTGAGAAAGAGAATGGTTTTCGAGGCCTTTAGATGCATTGGAAGGGATGGATAAAGGGCTCGGCCTCGAAGAGAAAGGCGAAGGAGACGACGGCGTTGAAGGCGTGGGTGGGTTTGAAATGGAAAGTCCCAAGTGGGTTTTGGCTTTGAGTATTAAAGAGTGGATGAGAGCTTCGGGTCCAAAGGCTAAACGTATCATCTCTTTCTCGCCATGGTCTTGAATGAGAAGATAACCCATGATTTTAGAAGCGTTTTCGGGGTCCAAGTTTTGGATCCGAGAAAACACCATCCTCGTTGCATCGTACGACTCCATGGAGAATCTCAAATACCCAGATTTTCTTTTCTAAAAAAAACTGAGCTGAAAATACTGAAACTAAACTCACTCGAGAGAGAAAAAAGGATAGGGGACGAGAAAACAGAGAGGATAAGAGAGAGAGAGGAGTGGACTTTGCTTTCAAAAAGGCAATGATGGGGGGTTAAAATATAATTTTTTTTGTATAATTAATACACAAAATGTACCGAGTTCAAGCTTTCAGTTTCTCTCTGAAAACCCATCACAGAAAAGTTAAGAGAAAAACAAAAAAAACGGCGAAAGAGGAGGATGAAAAAGGTAGGTGTTTTTTGTTAGAGAAGTGTTGCAGTCTGCAAGTGATGTTTTTGATAATTCTGCAGATTTTCTCTCGCTTTCTTTCTTACTTTTGAGGGGAAAGAAAAGATTTGGAAATTAGAACCACAAGTTTTGATGGCAGCTCAGAGCAGGCAGCCTCGGGAGAGTAAATTCTAAGTTTCTTTGTTTTTTTGTTTCAATTTTTTAAAGAAAATTTGCTACTTTATGATTTAAAAATTTGATTGTTTTGAACAAGAGGGGGATTTGTCTTTTACAGAAATGGACAAAATAAGGCTAAGTGGGGGAGTAGATTCAGATCTGCTTCAATAAACTTGAAAGGGAAATTGAATTGATATAATTATTTATTTATTTTATTAATTAATTATTTTAATTTAATATTAGACTAATTTAAAAATGTTTCTTCTGATCTTATTTAACTCATTAAGTAACATCAACTGTTAAATTAAATGTTATTCTTTAGAGATATTAAGTTTAAATAATTATATTTATGGGTGTGTAATTATTATTATAATTAAAAAAATTAAATATATATTACTTTAAACTATTTAAAAAATCTAAGTTAAATCAGATCTATATCTGTGGGGTCCAAATATTATATCCATCTCTAATTTAATACAAAAAAATAATATAAAAAAAATTAAATACTTTAAACAAATTAAAGACTAAAAATTATTTTACTTCCGGTATAAAATATAACATAAAAAGACATGAATATGATTACTACATGAAACAAATATATAAAACCCCACGTGAATCCACACATTGTTGCACCTAATCACTCACGCTATTATATTATTATTATTATTATTATTATTATTATTATTATTATTGTAAAAATTAATCATTTTCAATTGGATGAACGGATAATGTACTATTCAATTACGTTTGTATTTATATTATTTTTTATTTATATATTTAAAATATTTATATTGAGATAAGATTTTATTACCGCAAATAAAATTCGTTTAATTTTACACAAATTTAAGATTATTGAATAAATAAAAACATATTACTGAAATTAATAGTATAGAAAAATAGAAGATATTAATCGGAAAAATAAAACAAAGAGCTAATCTCAACTATTTATTCTCGCTCATCATACAGTCTTAAATATGTATAAAATTAGAATAATTTTACATGATATAAGTCGATCATAAGATATTTGATGCATTTTGATTTTTATATATTGCCGTTGAATTAAATCATTTTATATGTTAATTTTTTTTGAGTTTAACGACATTGCTTTTGTTCATTAATAGTGTATATTTTATATTTATATCAATTTTATGTTGTTTTTTAATCACAAATTGGTCGAGTGTATAGTATTTTTTTAGTCGGGTCATTCGAGTATAAAATATTATTTGATTTTTAAAAAAGAATTATAAAATGATAACCAATTATTAATTTTTAGATGAAAACTTTATACGATAATTATTAACATAAACAACATAATAAATGTAGTCTTTAATTTTTACATATTATTATAATTTAATCCAAAATTTAAAATTGAACTCTTCACATTTAAAGTATTAACCAATTTAAACCTCACTGTAACTTGTTTTCTATAACATTTACGCCATTATTTGTCATCATTCAACCTTCAAAGTTCACACCTTATTTTGATCTTTTGAATTTAATTAATATATTTTTATTTTCTCTCATTTTCATACCTCAAAGTGTTATCGTGATTGTTTCAATCAATTAAACATGTTACTGATTATATTAGTAGTAAACTTTATAGCCTAACATAACTATTTTAAATTATAATTGGTGTTGAAAGAAATGAAATTGAACATTTTTTTTTCTTTCAGTTAAATTTTTAGAATAGTGATTAAATTATAAAAATAAGTAAATGTTAAGGATTAAAATTATTTTATGTTAATGTTATCAAATATCACATTAGTTTTATGTCTAAAAAGTGACGGTCAATTATCATTTTATAATTTTCGATAACTAAAGTGATTAATATGTAATACTTTATACTTGGATGGTCCAGATAAAATGTACACTATAATCGAAGGAAATATATGTAGTTTTACCCACTTATTATTACCAAAATAAGAATAAAAAAAAGTATAGTAAAAAGTAAAGAAATTGGGAAGTGAAATACACGGATTTTTAAGGAGCGTAGAAACGAAGGCCATCAGTTTCAGATTACTGTATGTTCAGTTGCATTTCCTTCTGACAAACTTCTCTGTACTGTGTTGATGTAATTTAAATTGGATTTTCATTCAAGCAGCACAGTTTTGATTCTCTGCATGCGGTCCCACGGAACACCTCCATATCTCCACTCTCCACCCCTTGATATCGTATATGGATCTTGTGGGGTATTTACAAAATGAGTGAGCATTTGACTTTTTTTTATAAGTAAATGATCTAATTCAAATATAAATCCGAATATATGAATTTAAAATTTAGCCGAATATATGAATCTGCATAAATCCAAATATAAATTCAAGTTGGATAATCAATATAAATTCAAATAATAATTCTGAATTTTTTATAATACATACTTGATGGTATATATTTGAATTCATTTTGTATTTAAAGTCAAATTCAGATTTAATATATATTTACATAAGCAATAAATATTCATATAATGAATAATAAAAAATCTATTTTAACATGTTTTAAATTCAAAATAGATAACAATTTTAATATCTGATTATGTGAATTATCTATAATTTAAATTATCATATTATAATTCAAATAGCTGTTTTTTTTTTATAAATTTGGAATGGATTCGATATAATATATGTTTAAAAATTCTCAACTACTATAACAATGATAGCTCTCATGCCTCTAGCAAACGAAGAACTCAAAATCGAGACTTTTAAAAAATAACAACAATTTCTAGATTACTAAAATCGATTAGTTCGTACTTAAAAGTCATGATTTTAGTCGTATTTAAATACCAAATAATTGTCATATTATTTTTTGAGTCATATTAATTCATTCCACAAATGTATGTATACTCATATGATATTCTATATTTCATTCCATAAATATGAGGTAAATATAAGATAATATATATTTAAGAGTTTTAATCATTTAACAATAAACATTCGTACCTTGTATACGTGGTGTTCAAATTCAAAATTTCAAAAGATAACTACGAATTTCTTAACCGTTGAATTAGTTTAATTTATGTACTTGATGATATTGTATATTAAATAATCTTAAAAATGTTTTTTTATTGTTTCTGTAAAAGGCAGGGAGACACAGGTAATCTAAAAGATTTCGTGGGATGTCAATATCGTGGACCCATTTACATTAACATATCAGACATGGTGGCAATGGTCTTAAAGGCCTGGCTAATGTAACGGTCAGGGTTATTCCCACGGTTTTACCGTCGTCCCAGAAAGGAAGAAAACAAGTCAGAAGAAGAGCCGTTAGGGTTCGAAATGACAGTGGAGAGACAACCATCAATCATACAGGATTCCAAGGACCACCAACATGGACCGGGTCGTCGTCGGCCGACTCATTGGTGAAAGTTCGCCACTCAATGGTCTCGTTGAAGGAATGAGACTCGAGGACGAGACCACACTCGGTTGATCAAGGGCGGGTAGTCATCCTTAAAAAATTTTAATTATCACATATTTTAAATATTTTTATTAACAATCAATTTTATCACTTAAAATTTTATATATTCATATCCATTATAACATAATGCATAAAGGAAGGTCAGCTTTTGTTACACATATTTACAACAATGTAATCCCTCTTCTCTTATAGACTCTATTTGAGATGAGGGAAAGAAGCACTAAAATAATGAAATGCTTCAAAATCACCCCACAGATGTACTGCTCATGCTGCACTTTGTGTGTTCGTAAGGTTTGGAACAGATTAAATCTACGAACCGACCGTTTAGATAGCCCTACTGATCGGGACCAGCTCGTCTAGAATGAATGTTACATTTCCGGATCTCTCGAAAGGCAAAACAATGGCATGATTCCTTCACCATGTTGCTTCATCAATGCCGACATGTTACCGATTTCTCTAAGGGGAGATCGTCGGGGAAGAAGTCCGGCAGCAGTGCAACTCTGAGCCTTGCAGCCATCATCATCCGCACAATGGTTTTCCTTTAAGCGACACACGAGTACCCGTTTCTCTGTTTCATTTTGTACTTCTTGGTTAATTGAAGTATTTCTGGCCCTCGCGGTTTTTCTATCTCTTTCGATTTGCAATCTCTCGATCTCTTCGTGAAGGACGGATATTTGTGCCTGTAGCTCATTAGCCTTTGCTTCGGACGAGATAGCTTTCCGTTTCCATTCTTTCGCCTAATGAAAGCAACAAACATATTCGATTAATTAGTGTTTGTGTACAACAAAATGTAGTTAAGTACCATGAAAATCTTACAACAGATTGCAAGGATTGAATCTGATAGACTGAATCAAGTGCTCGATCTTCCCAAAAATCTCGACATTTCTGCAGTTCTTCCATCTCATCCCTTACCTGCCCCAGCATCTCTTTCATCTGGGACCATTGTTCCATCTCGGCACGAACTTGCTTGACAATTCTCTGTACTATAGCCTTGCAGTTTCCTGAACACACTCTTGCTTCAAGGGACATTTTCTCCTGCAGAAAGAAGTGTCTGGCAATCAATTGGGAACCCGAATTTTCATCTGTTCTGAACTAAATAATTATGGAAATGAGAAACACATGAAGCATCGATATATAATGATTAATGGCACATATTCAATTATGCGATCGAAGCGTATTCTGCAATTTGAAACGAATGTTCTTTGGCCAAACTTATCTGACATGATACCATGTGCCTGATTTAACTTATTCATCATCATACCAATGTCTTTCACGTGAAAAAGCCTATGGTCAAACTAGTAGATTCGGAAGTCTCGAACAATAGAAATCAGCAAGCTAGACTTACGGAATCCATGTCTGAACCACATTGCTGGGGATTCTCTTTTACTACGATATCTATTAATAAGCAGTTTTTGAGGCACTGATATAATGAAGGGCTAGAAACCGATGATTCATGGATTTTACCTTGTATGATTGTTGTGTCGATGACAGCGACAAATCCGAATAATCAATCCTCTTTGAACTGGAAGCAGAACTCGGGACTGAACTGTTAGTTGTGGAGAGCATGGAACCATAATCCTCCTCCATTCTCTCTAACAGAACCCCTTTTGACAATCTCTCCATCTTTCTTCTCAGAAATTCCACCTGCAAATTTGCTTCAAATTAGAAACTCACCATCCAAATATGCTACCACAACTCGGACAATGTGCTGAAGTCTATATGTTATCGGATTTGAGGGTAAGTATCGGATATATGTCCAACACAAGTATGCTTAATTTTCGTAAGTATCATGTAAATATACACACACACACACATATATATATCAAAGATCGTATCTTCATATCAGTGCATGAACATGTAACAGGAAACAAATACCGGACATGGGGACTTGAGGGAAAATGAATACTCATCAGTAAGCAGCAAAGACTAGTATAATTAACATGACAACAAAGGTGTTCCATACTTACATTGTTGTTTCCATTCGAAACAAAGCTCTCATCCCCTTCACTACTCGTTCTAATCGACAAGCTCGCTTCCGCCATCTGCCGAATCTCCTTCACGCATACTTCTTCCTCAGAGAACCCTTCGAACTTCTTGTGCCGTCTTTGGAGAAAACATACTTGTTCATCAAAGTTACTACATTTTTCAACCTCCAGGTCTTTAACCCTTGACCTCTTTTGCAGTTTTTCGAGTTTTCCCGACAGTTTATCGATCTGCTCCTCCAATATCAGCATCACATTCTTTCCTTCACAGATGTTTCTTACCTGCATACCAATTGCCAACTCAAGGTCATTGAATGGAATAAATATGAAAAAAAAAGTTGGATATTCAAATAAATATCAACAGAGACATTCTTTCAAATAGTTTGTGAAATAAATAGATATTCAACTAAGTAAAAGATCAAACATCTGGAACCTTATATGGCTATGTCTCACATGCTCAAGTCCAGCTTAATCAAACACAATGGCTTACACACATTCTATCAAGAAAAATCCAGCAAAACCTAGAAATCAGACAGTCCTACATTGATTAATATTTTCTCAAGAACCAAACAGAAAACAATCAAAAGAGAAAAGAGAAACTAACATAAATCAAAGTTTGAACAGTAGATTTCAGGGTCCTCTCCATTTTCTTGACAGCAATATCTCTTTCCATCCTCGATAAATTACACTCTGCTCTCAAAATCTCAGCTTGGAATCTCCATTTCTCTTCTTCAACTAAAGATACACTACTGTTTTCTCTGTTCTCCTCCTCCTCCACCACCACCCTCTTTCTTCTCATGTCTTCATCATCACTTGGACTCACCAGCACCATTGGATCAACCCCTCTTGTGAAAGACCTTTCCTGATCAAACAAACTCACCAGCATCATCCCTTTTGTCTCATTGTGTAAAGTTGGTAACTTTGAATTTGAAGGGCTTGCCTTTGGCTTTGGCGCTTTCCTTGTAGGCCTGTGTGGTGGCAAATGAAGGATCTTTGGGGCTGGTTGTGGCGGTGGGTATTTCCATTTAGCCCTTCTTGTTGTAGTTGCTCCCATTGGTAGCCTCTCCATACAAACACACAAATTCTCTCTAAAATGGATTGTTCTTCTTTTATTGGTTTTGAAAACACAAGCTGAGCCCTTCGTTGAGCAATGACTGAAACCAGACTTGAATGCCTTATTTATGTTTCTCGTGGGGATAACTGATTTTGAAAATTTAAGAGCTTTTTCAACGATTGGTTATTCTACTTTAGTTAGGAGACAGTGAGAGTTCAGTTGGAATTCTTCGAACACAGCACAAGCTTTATCAAAACCAAGTACCAACCTTCTCTTTTTCTCTGAAAAATAAAATCAGTTTTTTTTATATAAAAAAATTAAAAATGGAAAATGAAGGTCCGTGCCGTTAAAGGCATGGCTCTGTTATACATCATAACCTCTAAAATATTTGTTTAACAATTAAAAATACAATTATCAATGTTTCCAACAATTACTGACAAACAAGTGATCGGGCTTCTGTCTGAGTCAGACTCTCTCCATTTCGAGTCTCGACTGGTTTTTGTCTGGAATACTTTATTTTATCATTTTCAAAGGAAACGGTCTGGACCAAGACACAAAGATGCTTTGAAAATGTACATATACATGTACACGCGCGCATGTTGATTTATAGTATTAATTATGCCTTACTTTACTACATAACAGTCACAGACAGAGTTAAGGCAAGCACCATATCCATGTTTGATTCCGAAAACCAATAATCACTTGGGGACCACTTCACATGTAATTTGTCTAAAAGATTATACTTTTTTTTAAAGTTTGTCCAAGATGCTTGAAATTGGCTTTCAAATTAAATCTAGATTTGCCACTGTTGACTGTCATAAAAGCTTTATTCATTAGCTTTTGATGCCTCATTCCTAAGCTACAGGCATTATATTCTAAAACCGAAGTCCACAATCCTCAACAACTCACAATAAGATCCTATATAAAGCTAAAATGATGCCGAAACTAGAATCCGAAACACCTCAAAAAACCCGTTTTTTGTTTGTTGTCTGACGTTGTTACCGAACAGTAACCGGCCCGAAAGAGACACCTGACAGTTTTTGTTTATTGACAATGCTGCCAACAGCAATATCGTAAACTGGCTCATTCTCTTTCACCGTTTATCTGGGCGGCAACGAAATTACGAACGACTTCCATTGCCAGCTGATGAGCAGTTTTGTTCTGCAGCTTTGCAAGCTCTTCCATGGCTTCATATGTCTCTTTATCAGCGAAAGGCTTTAGGTTATACCTTGTCGGTGATAGCACTGGACCTTCCCATTTGTCCACCAGCTCATGAAGTTTTTCGAATCCCTGAGGGAGATCATCATGATCATCAGTTTTCTAGACCATGAATGTCATTTGATCGTAAAGGAAGTTTTGAAGGAAAGCGGATAAAGATTAACGAGCAAAGACAAGAATAATAATACTACTACCATGCGGATTGTGAAGTCACCGAATGACTCTTTGGGCTGTCTTTTCCGTTTCCAGGAGTAGAACAAGGGCTCGAAAACTTTCTCAAGATCCTGAACTTTGACTTTGTTCATAAAAGTCCTTGCTAATTGAGTTTGACTAGGTGTTCCTCCAAGCCAAATCTAATTTCAACAAAAACAAAAGTACGAAGTTATCCAACTAGTTATTACTACTGAAAGGTATATCGTCCAATAAATGAACTACCTGATAGCTGTTTGGACCATCACCAACCAGTCCCAACTCAGCCATGTAAGGTCTAGCACAACCATTGGGGCAGCCAGTTACCCTTATCACCACCGACTCACTGTACTTGAGTCCGACCTGAAATTAGGCAGTGCCAATCTATTTATTAGATTCAGATAATTGATAGGGAGGAGGATAAATTAAATTTCAGCTTGAAAGAAGGTAACAATTTCAGCCAATGATATTCATTCAAACTTCAGTGTTAGGCCGGTATTCTTGTTGGGGATAAGGGATTTAAATTTAACAGGATATTTGATAAATATACTACATACCTTCTCGAAGACAGCTCTGACCCGCTTGAGGATATCAGGTATGCCACGTTCAGCTTCGGTTATTGCCAAAGGGCAAAGCGGGAAAGCTGGGCATGCCATAGCAGTTAAGTTCAGGGGATCCACATATTTAGGATGCTGTTTCATAGCAAGAACCAGTCAGCTGTTCGACTAATTCAACAAATGAAATATAACAAGATAAAGGAGAGTAAGGCAAACAAGCTTGGGGAATGGATATTAATAAGCGAAAAACAGCTAAACAATTAAGCACAAAATTCAAACCACGCAAATAGTAAGTTCTGCAAAATGTTATATACAACCATCACTCCATGGTCTAAGTAAGTGAACTCCATGTTCACATTCCCATATGACCTCCGACTCTAAGCTCTTGATCCTCCTGGAATTTTCTTGTTTTACAAAATCAAAAGAAACTGAAAATAAAATCAATGTGGATTCAAATCCTCCATCCAAGCTTTTCAGTGGGATTCTATGCAATAGTATAGTCGGAAATGGTTTGTCTCGAGTGATTCCCTATTAGTGGTCTTGTATAGCTACCAACGTGCCTTAAAATACTGCAATTCTTGAGTGAACTTGTTAACTGAAGAAGTATTTAACAAGGAAAATAACTCTAAGTTGACCCTAATTTTAAACGATATATAACTCGCCCTAAAATATAGCCTAAAGGGAAAGACATTAACATATATATTCTAACAGAATTACCATGGCAGCAGCTGATTTCTTCTTTAAGCAAATTTTATCATTTCTTTAAAATCTGAGATACAATAGACAGAAAATATATGTATCTGTTCGATTAAGATGCTCAACTTTAAAACTTTAGCAGACATTGTTGACTGCAGGTTCAGAAACCAGAAAGGTAAATTTTGCAAGTAATGAAAATCTTACCAGCAGCCCAGCTTGAGCAAGAACTGTGGTAATAGGACGCTTCCATACACTACGAACATCACACAGAATGAGGTTTTGGTTTGGGGTGATCCGCACATTTAAATTATACTTCTCTATTACTTCCCTCAGTGTCTTTTTCATCTTTCCTCCAATGCGACCATTGTCTACATGGAGCCCGCAAAATAAAGCACCATCTCCCTTCCAAAATAAAAGTTACCAAGAAGATTAAATGCACTATATTAAAGCCAAGGATGAAAAAGAAAATGAAAACAATTCAAGACAAGCATAACATCAGAAGATTCAAATGCAATTAGTAACAAGGCAAATGTGGAAGTTAAAAAAAAAAAAGTCAAACCGAAAGCATCATGTGTGATTTCTAAAAATTAAAAATACAAACCTGCTCATGCCATCCCAAGTAACTCTTAAATTCCCATTCAGGCAACTCATGGAAAGGCTCGAATTTCTTTCCATAATATTGCTCAACAACACTTCTAAACTTTTCAATCCCCCAAGAGCTGATCAAATATTTCATTCTACTATACCTACGGTCATCTCTTCTTCCATTATCACGTTGTGTGGCAACGATGGCTTTAATAGCATACAAAATGTCCGCCTTTGGCACATAACCGAGTGGTTCTCCCAAACGTGGGAAAGTGGTCTCCATCCTATGGGTCCTTCCCATGCCACCACCAACCTGAAAAAACATTTACGAGAAATGGATGCTTTTAGGTATAAAAGTGTGCAAAGTAAAAGAGAAAAGATATGATTTCTTTGATCCTATGGTTGTCTTACGTATATGTTGAACCCCTGAGGCTCTCCATTTTCATCAGAAACTACCACAACACCGATATCATTTGTGAGAATATCCACCGAGTTATCAGTTGGCACAGTCACAGCAATCTTAAACTTCCTTGGCAAGAACTGCGTCCCATATATCGGCTCGGGAGAATCAGGGAAATTCGTTCCATGGGAGTTATCATTCCTGGCTTTCACAACTTCCGGAGGCTCCGATGTCATGAATTTCTCCCCATCCACCCATACATCATAGTAAAAACCTGATTGAGGAGTTAACAATGCAGCAATATTGTCAGCAGTTTCTTGTGCAAACTGGTATTCTTTCGTCATTAGTGATGCAGCCGGAGCAAGTACATTCCTATTTAGATCCCCGCACGCACCAAGGGTTGAACCCATGTTTCTAATAATGGTGCTCATCACAGTCTTGAGGTCCTTCTTCAAAACACCATGGAGCTGAAAGGTCTGCCTCGTCGTCAGACGTAAAGTTCCAATGCCGAATTGATCGGCAAGATCATCCATGGTCAAGTAGAGCTGGTTCGGGACTTTCCCACCTGGGTTTTTAGTCCGAAGCATGAAGGAAAAAGACCTTGTACCGCGCTCATCTCTGTTGTACTGTTGATAGCTCCCATGGAACTTAATTAATTGTGTTGCAGCCTCGTTTATATTTGGGGTATCAGTCAATATCTCCTCATTGAGAGGGTATCTGATGAAGTTGCTTTGTTCTTTGAATATCTCAACTTTACTCCGCTTCGGTTCTGTGGCACTCGTTTCAGGCTTCACTGGCTGTAAAGGGAGTCAATAATAAAAGAACAAATAACATAAAAATTCTCAAATTTCTTATTCCAATAGTAAAAATTCTCACAAAGCGATAAAGAATGAAATGCAATTAAAAAAAGAAACTGGTTTGAAAAAAAAAGCCAGCTGAGAGAAACGAATGTAAAAAATGAAAAGGCATAAGAATTGCAAAAAGGTACACGATTTTATCATACTTTCTTAGATTCCAAACAACAATCAGCATTCAGAATGAAATTAAATTATAAAAGCAAAACAAGACTGACCGTTGAGACAGCTCTGATGAGAGTGTGACTGCAGAAAGGAGCGGAAAACACGCGAAGATTCCTCTTCAAAGCTATAGAATGCGAATATTTCGACCCCGTGAAGCTCTGGACTCGAGTCTTCGGATCCGTCGGGACGACGGTACCCGTCGCAGCTCCAATCGACGTCGTCATTAGTTTGAAAGAAAAAGCCAAAGCCTTATATTTTCAGTTTGATTTCCCTTTAGAAAAAGAAAAGAAGAATAAAAGGTAGGGTTTTCTATCCAAAGTCCTCTTCAAAACGAAGAAGAAAAGGAAGGGCGGAGCGACAATGGCGAAAAGGAAAGCAGGGAATTTGATGCTTTGATAGAGGAGTGGATTTTATTTATTCGTGTAAAGTGAAAGTGTTTTATTTGGTTTTGCTAAGGTGAGCCCATCACGTGCCTGCCACGGGGCATTCGTTTTATCGAATCTGGACTTGCATAACATTCCCACGCGCGCTGCTTTACGGGACTGACTGATTTAAGTCATTTTTCATAATTGTTATTTATATGAGTATTGTTATTTAATTCTTAAAAAAATTTAAAATATGATTATTTCTTAAATAAAAAAAATTAAAATTAAAAAATAATGAACAAACTTATTGTAAATATTCTTCATACTAATATAATTTTATAATCAAGTATAATTTTACTGAAAATATTATAATTAATTTTTTCATCGTAATTTTTTTTTAAAAAAAGGAAATTAAGCGTTTTTATTATAATAAATTTTAGGTTTATGTTATAATTAAAAAATACAATTTTTAAACTTAAATATTAAACAGTTTTTTTACATATTAATTTTATAAATTTTAAATAAAGTTTATTTTATATGAGATTTCAATACCTAATACTCATATATATTAATTAAGCACGAACCAACTTACCTGGTGGTTAAATGAATCGTTGTTATTCTTAGAGGTCTTGGATTCGAACATCAGTGAATGTAAGGGTGATTGAGCGTTTATTGTAAAATGATTGAGAGTACTTGAAACATATACTATTTTGTAATCACATTTAGCTTAATGAAAAAAAATATTAATTAAATTTAAAACCAAGTTTAATTGAAATTTTAAAGGATATTTTTTTAATAACTCCATTGAAAAAATATTGAAATTATTATAAAAATTTATTAAGTATATTAATCTCTTCATAAAAAAAATCACAAATAGCGCGTTAAAAAAATGCCAAAAGGGAGCGCGTTAAAAAGTTATGGACAACGAATCCAAAATAATATGGGATATAAGTGGTACATTGAACTTGGACGGATTTACGTTTGACCCATGGTGAAGTAGGTAAGACCCTAGAAGTGCAGGTCTTGGCGGCTATGACATTTCCAATTAAAAAAACGGTTAAAGACAAAATAGTTCAAAAAATATTTAATTTTAACTCATCATCATTTTATTTATAATTAAAGATTTTCTTATAAATGTATTTCTATATTTATTTGCCCAATGATCAACGGCCTACCTTTTATATACAATCTATAATGCATTTTGTTAAAATATTATTTATTTATATTTCCTGATTAATATATATATATATATATAAGAGATTAAAAGAAGGAAACAATTTGTAATATCATAACCAAGTTAAAAGATCATCACTAAGGTTTCTGTTCAACTACCATACTCGATCTACAAAATGAAATGTCTGTTAACTTAAAACGACAATGAAAACCTGGGTGTCATCTGCATCTTTATGAAACCTTTCCCACAAACCACTAATTTAACTACCTTACTATTGTGTTCTATTCAACATTTTATGAACAAAATTGCAGCCAGGGAAAATTGATAGAAGCACATAAGACGAAAACGATGTCTGACTCTTATGCAATCTCTTCTCTTCTTTTCTCCCATTCCATCTAACTAGAGCCAAGAATGATTTACCGCCTCGAAAATGAACTGTCACGATTGTGATCAAGAAAAAGTCTTGGGAGTTCGACCAACCCTTCAGCTTTTGAAAGGGTGTCCTCCGTTCACAGGATAGCAAGCGGCCTGATTAGAGATGTTACTGCCTAATTTCTGATAATGACTGCTGCCGTTGACATGGTGCATGTCGTACACTTGGGACACCCTTGCTTCTTGCAGAGTGAGGGAGGAGGCCCAGGTTTCAGCAGAATCGGTTTGCAATGGTTCGGAACTTGAGGAGCTTGGAGACGGAGATAAGGCAGGACCTGAGCCTGATCCTTTTACTTCTCCAGTGTCGGCATCTGTTTTCTTTGCAAAACGTCCTCCAGTGCCTCTCGCCCTACGCAAAGCATGCTGGTGCCTAGATTCGTGAAGATAGGGCTGTAGGATATAGGAGATGAGGTGTTACAGGTCAGATGACATGCACAACAAATTTTAACAATAAAAATGAATAAGTTTCTCACAGAGTAGCTATTTGAACTCTAATAATCAACGTTTCAAAGAATCTAATTTAAACTAACACAACGTTACTTTTGCCAACTGAAAGAGTGTTCAGTACTTCAGTATTAGATTTACCTTACGGGATTTTACAACCTTCTTCTCAAGTTCTGCTTTGGCACGGACCTGCCTTCGCCTCAGAATTCCCTGGTACTGTTTGGCATTTACGTAAACAGGCTCTTGTGCCATTTCGATCGGGAAAGTCATTCTTGCATGAGGCATTCCAACAAATGGAGGATATCCCTGGCCATCGCAAAAATTTATTCATTAGAGAGTGCATCATGCCTTGAATTTCGAGTATCAAAAGAAGGTTCTTAAATGAAGAAATAATGCTCTTGGTTTTGTTTATATTAAAAAATAAACAAAGAGAAGAAAATCAAATGCTAGTATCATGGACCGATGATGCACAAAAAATAAAGAATTGGAAAGAAATAGAAATTCAAAAGCTTGTTTCCATATTCATCTAAGTAGGAAGCATCCAAAGTCTCCAAATATTACTGTCCTGAAAAATTGGTCATCTGAGGGGCACAGAATTTAGTACAAGAAAGTTAGAACTTACACCATGAGCAGTTTCCATTTAGTTCCAGCTTTGTTCTTTTCATTTTACTGTCATTGTCTATCCCCAACAATTTTATTCTATTAGACCTAGAAGAGAGGCCAGTGGAGGATGGGAATGATGGGAGGAGGATTCATCTACCCGACCTTATGTAAATGTGTGTGCTTGGTTTTTGTAGTCGACACAAAATATATTGGAATGAAGACTGGTTGGTATGGTCTACCCCTGAAATGGAGTTGGTTTGAAGATAACTAAAGAAATTAAGGGCGTGAATGAAAAGATAGAAATCTACCATTGGATTGGTACATTAAAAAAAACTAGTTAAGACTAATGATAAACATAAAACATGAATATTTGGCTAAGCAATTGTAAAAAGATCATAGTGGGTTTCGTCCGTTAAATTTCGTAAACTAACCCTCTACAAGGTAAGGAAACACACATACATACTGCATTTTTACTCGCGCAAAGCACATTTTTTTGCTTCTTCTGCCTCAAGTATATAATGGCTGTAGTGCCTAGAGTGACGATATATGCGTTCGTTTAGTCTTGAAAAATTTATATCATACTATACCAAATAAAACAGCAATCTATTTTGAAGCATCAGTATAACCTTGATGTCTCGTGAGAATGGTTTCATACAAAATACATTAACGCTAACAGAAACAAATCTATAAGCAATAAAAATTCAAGACAAAATTAATTAAAGTTCCATACCAAAGGCTGATGTCCATAAGCTGCCATCATTCCTCCATAATGTGGGTCCATATAAGGATTTGATGCACATGCCTGCAAAACGATTGGAAGAAAACTAGGAATCCTTCCACAGCAGGTTATGTAACAACAAGACCCCTAATTGCATACAACAGAAAATCTTGGGCCTGAGGCACTTACGATTGAATGACCAACAAGCTCAAGAAGGGGAGGCTGCATGAGGCCTTCATCATTCATAGTAGGTACGGTAGATGCAACATGCTGCAAATTGTGATGTTCTTGTCCACCATTTCCAACTGCAAATGAACAGAAGAAAAACAATTGGCACCCCAACCACCACCACAAATCTCTTGTATGAAAGGAATAATTGGTAACAGACAGTAATACCAACATATCACTCAAGTAAAGCACTATAGAACGCAGGGAAAATATTTACTTTGTAGCATATTTACTTATACTGTTATACAAGTCAAGAGAGACAGAAAGTCTTCTAGTCTTCTGGAAAGTACATCATACTTAACTGAACCATTAGATTTGTCAGTTAAATACTTCAGACAAATTTTAAAAGGCCTGGGGGTTTATGTGAAATAGTAGTAAACACTAAACAGAATCTAGAACAATATATACTTTAAATAATCTGTAGATCCATGTTCAATATCAGAAGTCATGAAATTATGAAGTATATGGCCCAAAAGCAAACTTCATAGATACTTAGCTATTTATATTAATAATATTCATTTTAGTAATTACTAGAATAATGATATGAAGTACCTGACCGAGAGGATGCAGTAGCTTGTGTTTCTTTATTAACATCATCCTCTTCATTTAGCACACCATTGGACAGTGACTGCCCATCATTCGACTCTGAACCATTAGTGCATTCCATTGAAGATGATTTAATGAGTTTACTCCTCTCACTAGCGTGGGGATGGAACCATAACCAATATTATGCCACTTTAATTCAGAATAAACTGGAGTTTGATGAGCACCGCACCTCAGGTTCTAATTGACTTCCATCTTCAGAATTTGACTGCAATCCTCCAAAAAGAAAAATTCAACCGATAGTCAATTTCTAATATTTGAACATGGAAATTTGTTCTATCGAAATACACATTCTTCTTACTTAGGTAATCTAACATAAAAACAAAACAAAACAAATCATAAAGAAACATAAAAAAGAGAAAAAAGAAATTTCACATTCATCAGAAGAATAAAGATAAATGAAAGCATCAAAACAATACCACAAAACTTTGACCACACCCCTGGAAAAAAACCAAGAACTGATTAATATCTCTAATGGCAAAATTAAAATATTTTGCGTTCATGTTAGTAAACATATAAAACTGTGGGGAAGATACTAGTAATTTCTATGTTCAAAATTCAATGTAAATGATCCAAAAATTCATCAAGGATTTGCCGTTTTATTACAAATAAAATAAAAGTTTCTCAACTACGTTCTTCTGCACATTTTCTGTATCAAGTCTTTTTACTTTCGATGCTTTCCAAAATATTAAAGGTTGCTACATTCTTTGGCTGTATCGACAAAGTTATTTACTTGGCCTGCTCAAAGTTTAAGCTTTGCACTTTTCACTAATTTTCTTTCCCTAAATTTACAGAAATTAAAAAGTTATTGTTCCTTGTCCTGCATGGAATTGAGAATTCGAATTTCTTTGAAAGAAAATCTCATTTCTCGTATTGTCTCACAAATCCAATAATTTCCAACGCTAAATATCACCTCAATTCATCAAATTCCATAATTAAAACCTCAAATTTCACAACCCCGAATACATAATTCTCACACAACCACCAGAAAAGAAAAAAATCAAACCAGAACAAAACCCCCCAAATTCTCAAACCCTAAACTAATAACAATTCCACCTTAAAATTTACCCAAAACAAGACGAAAGAAGAAACAATAAGATACCAATTAACAAAAGGAAAGAAAAAAAGGAAATTGAAATTGAAAAAGACACTTACCCGTTTAACCAAGGAGAACAAAAACACTAAAATTTTGGGGATTTTCGAGAGAGAAAATCAAAATCAACGAGAGAGATAGTCAATCTAGTTTCTATGCAGTTCTCAGTATAACACTAAAAACAGCTTCACCTATTTTCCTTCCTTTTTAATTTTGTTTTCTTTTTCGTATTTGAACACTGAGAATTAAGCTTTTGATCGCATCATCAGCTCCTGGATTCCAGGTTTTATCGAGCTTTTACCGACACGTGGACTCTTTCATTATTTTTATTTCTCTTTTTCTCCATATTATACTCTTTCTTCCTAGTTTGTTTTTTCATTATATTTAGGGTAAAATACACAAGTAGTCACTCGACTATAGGATGTTATTTTATTGGGTCCTTATAATAAGTAACAAAATGATTCATCGACTATAAGATATTATTATTTTAGTTTTCTGATGATTAAATTTTATAAAATGGTAACTCCACCGTTCATATGTTCTAAAATCATCATTACGAGTTAGACGTTACTTGTTGACTGAGATATAGTAAAATCATTTTTTAATAATGTCTAATGGAACCATTTATTTTTCAAACACTAACTCACCAACATAATGTTTCAAACAATAACTTAATAATATGATATAAACGAAAATTTGATCTACAAAATATAACTATACTAATTAAATATGTACGTGGAATTATAATTTCTTATAATTATAAAGAGCGTATAATTATGCTATGATAATTATACTTTATTATAATTATCATGCGATGTACTCAGAAATTAAACTATTATAAATATAAACATTAAATTGAATATTTTCAATGAATGTTATTTTAGAATTTATTATTTCAGAAAGAATATCAAATGACTTGACTATGAACAGAAAACCGGTGAATAGCCGGTTGCAGGTGAAAAAGCGAGTGGACGTAATGAGAGTAGAGCATTGGGTGAAGTTATCAAAGAAAGTAGTAAAGGGGAGAGAATTGGAATATGAAAGGAAGACCCACGTGACACGCACTTGACGGGAAATGCGTGTCTCAATTCCGGGACCACTTTAATTAGGATGACGACAAATAAACTTGATCTATTTAATAAAATAAATATAAATACTATTTAATAAATTTATAAAAAAAATTATTTAAAGAAAAATATGTTACATTATTTCTCTAGTAAATATAAAATAAATTTTTTATGGAAATTTAAACTATATAAATAATTTAAAAAATATTGTTTGATATGTATTTACCAAATGAAATGTACTACAAAAGAATAATGGGAAGCAAAGCATCGAGTAATTTAAAACTTATAGAATACAATTGAATATACTCACATGAGAAGCTAGCGACGCTTTGGCCGAGTGGTTAAGGCGTGTGCCTGCTAAGTACATGGGGTTTCCCCGCGAGAGTTCGAATCTCTCAGGCGTCGCCTGTATAATTTTTTTCCCTTTTTGGCAAATTGCATATAAGCAGTCCAACTTTTAGTATGCTTTCATTTTGGTTATCAAATTTTAAACCTTACAACACAGTCTGAAATTTTAATTTGTTTTTATTACTCTCCGTTGTTAAGAAAAGATGTCGTGACTACATAAAACTACATTCTTCTCAAAATAGGGCTTAAAATTGACAACTATTGTACCTCCTTTCACCGTTGTTTATGCCATCATTTGATGGTTTATATTATAAAGAATATCATCAAACTATTCATCTTCTATATTTCTTCTTTTGATTCAAACTTATAAAAATCTTCTATTCTCCTCTAATCACAGTCAAAACAATTGTAAAGTTTGTGCTCTAGCTTGGCCATCGCTTTCCATAATTAAAGAGAAACAACCATCCATTACTTAATTAAATTATGGTTTTAGCTCCTCTACTATGTTTAAATTACTTTAATTAGTATAGTTATATATAATTTATAAGGCAAGTATACAAATACTCCTCCGACTATAGGATGTTGCTTTGTTGAGTCCCTAGGTTTTTAAAAATTACAGAATGATCCCTCGACTATAGAGCGTTACTTTGTTGAGTCCCTCGACTATTAAAAGTAACAAAATGATCACCCGACTATTTATATGTTTCAAACTCGTCTTTTACCTTAAAAGAATTTAGCGACCGTCTAAGTTATACGTTAACCTATTGATTGTGATATGATAAAATCTGATCTCAGAATCGTTTGAGCTGTATTTTTTGGATTAACTCTCCATTTACATTATACCTTCGAGCCAATGCTTAAAAGCAATGGTGATGTCAGCTGACATCATTAAAATATGATTTTATAAAATCTCAACCAGCAAATTAACGTCCAACTCAGATGACTATCTTTTTTTAATAAAAAAGGACGAGTTTGGAACATATGAATAGTAAAATGACCAATTTATAGCTTTTATTAGTTGAGGGACTCAACAAAGCAACACTTTATAAATGGGAGACTATTTGTATACTTTACCCATCGAAATATGAGTTTAGCTCCACTGCTATGTTTAAATTAAAAATTAACTATCATACTTTAATTTAATAAAATTTAATTTGTCTATTTATTTAAGGTATTTTTTATAAGAAAAAAGTTGTATGAGACAAAACCCATGATTATTATTATTATTATTAATCTAGGGTGATTACAGGATAATACTTGTTTTAAATATTCACAATCATTTGATAATGAAAACTCGAATATGCTTGTAGTCTCTGATGTTCGAAACTAAAATCTCTAAAGATAACAATAATTTATTTAACGATTTGACAATAAAATCATGATATAATATAAACAAAAATTCCATTTGAATATAAATCATTTTCTCGTCACACTGTGATATTAGTTGACATTTATATAATGTCACCAGTTAGTTCGAATAGTTAATATTGTTAACTATTTTGATAATAACACTGATAACAATTATTTTCTCTAAATTATCTCCCTATTTTATCATGTTGATATAATTTTTCTTGTCTATTTAAGTATTTTTTTAAAATGTATCGATATTTTAATTATAATAGTTTACAATGACCGGCTAATAACAATATATATAAAATAGAGATCAAATCATACTAAATCAATATATGGATCAAATTTTAAATTTTAACATAATAAAAGGACTAAAATCATAAATCGACCTTAGAACTTCTCCAAATTTTTTAGTAGTTCGGAGTGATTACAAATTGATATTTGTTTATATATTTTTTTAATTATTGACAATACACACACGTTATATATGCAACTGCTCGAACCCAAAAGCTTAAGAGAAAATAATACTTTTTTAATTACTGAGACCATTTAATAAGTTATTCTTCAAATTAATTAATAGTTAATGGAAAGTCGAAAGGAAAATGATCTAGAAAATTGAACTGACTAAACATTTATTTATATGGTCACCCCTTCCTCTTGTTGCTGCCTTTATTGATTTTGAAGTCATTGTCTAACTAATTAGACTTTGCTTTGTGTTGCTTAATAGTTACTTCTTTGCACCAACTTTTAATTTGGTTTCTTTTAATTCATTTACAATGGCAGATTCAATTCATAGAAATGGACATCTCAACCATTAAAGGCTAAATCCAGTCATTATAATTCCAATTTCAAGGTTGAAAGATACTACACAAAGCAAATAATTAATTAAATTCACTAACCCACACAATATTAATCATAATGCTTCATTCCCAAGCCAAAGAAAGTTGAATCAATTGATTAATAATGAATTTAGTAAAATAAATCTCACAAGAAAATGATTTTGAGATTTTTTTAATACAGTGATAAATTTTGTTTGATCAACGAAATTGGTTAAGTGATAATTAGTTTGATATTATTTAAGTATGTTTCGAGTTTGAATTCTTATGTATGTAAAAAATTCTCATTGGGAGGCTTACCTATCAAAATCATGTATACGATACAAGTCAATCTGGATTAGTTAAAGCGAAGTCCTGTAGAACGGGAAGGCAATCAATTTTTTTTTGGGACTTTTTTATCATGTTTCTTATTACTTTTTTATTTCTTAATTGCATTCAATGTATTATATATTTACACAAATGTTAATATATTTTTCGAAGGTATGAGATAATTACAAGATATCATTTATTCATAATTTTTCTTAGTTTTTTGATAACACATTTTGTAGACGTACCTGCTTGAATCCTAATCTTTTAGGAAGAGTATGAATGTTAATATTCTTTTTAACCAATAAGAACAACTAATTTTCTATATAAATAAGAATAAATTAATCATATAAGTAGAACATTTTCTATAAAATCGTACATATATATAGATATATAAGAAACAACGGTCAGTCTACTGCAAGAACATCATTAGAAGAACAATTGAAAATGTAAAGAGTTGGTTAATTTAATCAGACCATCCGTTATCTTATTAATTTCATACAAATTTACTTAATTTGGTTATTCATTTTTTCAATCATAGATTAGAAATTACTCAGACCAACTACAAAGAGCAGTATTCATCATAAATGAAACATTTCTCTTATTTCAAATACTGTTTACATGGCTTATTCAAGTCAAATCAAAGTACACTTGTTCTTGTTCATAAGGAAAAAAAATAGTACTTACAAAGATTTTCATGCCACCGTTATTCCAAGCTCAGCTATCCTACAACCTTATACAAATGTTTTCATGAGAGACAGAACTCAAATAAGAAAACCCCTACGTATCTTTTTTTGTTGTTGCTGGTTTTGTAAGTATTGTCGGAATCTAGGATGTTCGTAGTGTTAATTTCCACTATCAAACAGATAGGGTTTAAGGTTTGGAAATGGACTCTAGGGTTTATTTAATTTTTTTACCTAAATATTTAATTATTCAGATTTGGAAATCAAGAAATGGAAATGAAGAAACATCTTTCATCAAATCCTCCAAATCCCATTCTCCAACTTTAAGCTCTTCTCCTAAACAAAAATTCCCGCCGGCCGTTAGGTTCTCCGATTTGATGCTGTTGTTTATGATACTAAAAGGGTTGTTATTAATGTTGCTGTTGGTGGTGGTGACCGTGGTGGCAATAACGTTGTTTTTGAATGTGTTTTCCGTTTGAAGGTTTTCTCCAATTGATTCTAAAGGAGGGATATACAATTCCTCCCCATTGTCGGTGCCACCGAACATCTCGTTTTCACCGTAGAAACCGTTGCCATTTACGTGGACAAAGTACCCGGAAGTGGCACCAAACACTGTTCCAGTGGAATTCAACACCACAGATTGCAAGGAAGAGTTGGACGAAGTCGATGATAAATCGATGTACATGGGAAGAATCCCTTGTTCTTCCATTGACATGAAGCCGCCGACAGCGATGGAATCTTTGTTGGGGTCCGACGTTGTTGAATCTTTGGCGTTGGGTGAGGGGGTGGACGACAGATTCTTGAGCCTCTTCTTTATGGTTGAATTCCAAAAGTTCTTTATTTCATTGTCGGTACGGCCAGGCATACGAGCCGCAATTTGAGACCACCTTTGAAGCAACAGAAATTAAAAACACGATCCAATACTTTTCATGCATGGATGCTTTAATTCTAAACAACAGATTGTGACTTCAATTTGAGATTTAGTTCGACCGAAGCAAACACTATTACCCATAACCAAAGACTAAAAATAATTCATAATAAGCCGACAACCCTAATTTTAACCTAATATTACGTGCAGTTAAAAAATTAATAAAGGTTAATCGAGTTAATTATTTAGACTGACTAATGATATTATGAAAGTTCCTACATATATCGTATTTTGATATATTCGAAGCATTTTAATTGGAATAATTGATGGTGTTTATCATTTAGACTGATTAATGATATTATAAGAATAGAGGAATCAAATTATCTTAAAAGTAAAGTATAGGGATTAAACCCTTAATTTAAACATGGTAAAGGAACCGGAATCATAATTAAAGAGATGAAAAAAGGTATTGCAATATGTTTTCTTTCTAATGAAGGAAAGAGGGGACTATAATGAGGAAGAAGACTATGATCAAAAGCGCTTATTTTGTCAATGAAAATGATAAACAAGGTTGTAAGGTATTACCTAATGAAGCAATCAATTAGACGATATCTACGTAATTGTCATTGCTCAGCTCCCACAACTATTTTAACTAGTTTTTTTTATGAACATGAAGTAATGATAAATTTGGTTAAACTCGTGTATACTTACGGATTAAGTTATTCGAACCCGAATTCCAAATTATTTAAGGATTATATCTTCATTCTTAACTAGGGTTTTTAAACTCTAGTCATACACGTAAATTTTGTACAAAACAGTTACTCCATGCCAGCATATATATCGGGAAAAACATGCATGCAAGATAGAGAGAGCATACCTGTTGCCAAGAATGGAATGCAAATGGACGATAAGCTCTTCTTCTTGCGGCGAAATGGCACCTCGTTTCAGATCGGGTCTCAAGTAATTGATCCAGCGTAGGCGGCAGCTTTTGCCGCACCTTTGCAGGCCGGCATTCCTAGCTACATCGCTCCAACAACCTTGGCCATTGGTTAGCATATAGTTGATGAGCTTCTCGTCTTCTTCCGGTGACCACAACCCTTTCCTAAGCTTATTAGTAGTAGTATTGGTGGTGGTTGTGCTACCTTTGTTGGGCTTCCTCATCATGGGAAATCAGATACCCTAAAGAGAAGGAATTAAGCCTTGGATTTCCCTATCCAAGAAAAAAAATATGTGTTATTTTTTTGTTGATAACTAATAGGTTTTTCCATATGGGTTAGTGGAGATTTTATAGAGTGAAAGATAGGGTTAGGGGAGGAGGCTTCATGGTGGGGGGGGGGGGAATGGTGATGATGAAGAAGAAGATGATGGTGATGGTTGAAGGGGCTTGCTTAGAATTTTGGAAAGAAATAAGGAGAGAAACGAGTTAGTTGATGGGTCTAAGTAGTAAACGGTTTGGATGGAGAAATTGAGATAGAGAAATAGGAAAATGGTTTAATTATAACTTAATTACGATTAATTGGGAATTCACTTCGGTGATAAAATGAAATTTTGTTTTTCTTAGAAAATTCGGGTTCGAGCAACTGCGTCTATAGGGGATTTCTGCGTTGTTAGTGACTATACTATATTATAATCACATCAGATTATTTTTAAATATATATATATATATATATATATATATATATATATATATATATATATATAATTAACCAAAAAATTAATAATTATCTTATAACTTTTGACTGTTCATTGACTAAAACAATCACTTAAACAGAGTTAAGTGATCGTCAGAGTGTTTTATCCTTTAATTTTTTAAGAAAATTTTGTTATTACTATTATTATATCAAATATAAATCTTTATATTTGCTTCTAGTTCACATAATCATCTTTTCCCCCTTACTTTCAACATCTAATGAGCCCACACTTGCACTCGAAGATAAAGATATGGGCATGGTTACCAACTTTAAATCATGCAAAAATAATTTTATAATTTAAATAGAAAAGGCTTCTTTGTTCTAATATTATAAAAATATTATTTCATTTTTGTCATATGCATCATATGATATTATTATTATCATTATTATTTTGCAACAATGATATGAAGTCATATCAGTATCACCATACCCTATGCTTGTGGTTCAACACTGATTGGCCAAGTATATATTACTTTACGGCGCGATTAAAAACAATTACGACTATTGGAAACTTTTAGGACTAAATCTATCGAAACTTAAAACTTGGGGAATGAAATGAAAAAGAGAGAAAATTAAATTGAAGGATTAATTTTGTAATTACCTCATTTGTTTTCCAAATTAATCAGTAAGCAATTAAGAAACCCACATGGAGAGTAATACAAGAATTGTGATCGAAGAAAATGAGTTGTGTTTGCCTTGAAACTTGAGTCATTTACATTTTCAGTAAACACATAATTTATATTTAAAATGGTTCACACAATTAAGGTAGAAAAACACGAGGAAAAGAAAAGTTCATGCTTCAGCAGCCCTATCTTGACTTTTCAATTGCACCTTTCTAAGCAAGACAATGTGAAATCTCTCTCTCTCACGCATGTATATATATATATATATATATATATATATATATATATATATATATATGAGTCACGATCCACTTATATAATATAATTTTTTTTATATAGATTTAGAGTTGTTGAATGAGTGAAAATATACGAACAAAATTAACTCATTATTTTTTCAGTAAATATGTTCTTATTTCTTATTATACTGTATAATTGAATAATATATGTGTGTATATATATATATATATATATATATGTAGGATTTGTTATGTAAGATCTATTAATTTTACACGTAAATATAATCGCTAGATGAATCTAAATTTATGGTTGGGATTAAATTTTATTTTTATTAAAAAAAAAAGATAAATTCATAATCTTTTAGTTCATCCAATGATTATATTTTTCATATAATAGATGATTACATTTGTTTAATTTAATCACAAATATCCAATATATTAATCGACGAATTCAGATCATATATTGTAAAGGTCAATTATTCTTGCCCCGTTACTTATTCACAACATCAAAATTCGAACTCTAATCTTATTAGAACATTTAATACCTCGTTATATTAAACCAATGGATTGTCACTATTCAAAATTTAATGGTACAAATAAAATTATAAATATATAAGGTGAATCTAAAAAAAAATAATCATATTTAAATTTATATACATATTTTAAAAAAATGAACATTACACATTTGAAGTTTTAATCTCCATAACTATACAATAATATCGATATTAATTGAATTAGTTGTACTGGTTGATATATTCCTGTTGTTGAAAATATTAGTATTTGCTATTGGTGATGGGAAAAGGATAGTGCCCATTCCAACCGGATAGCTTCTAGAAATAGAGGGACGTCTATAAGATTAATGGTGTGGTTTAAATGCGAGTTATGGCCTAATTCATCACACGTTTCGAGCTTACACTCAAAACACATAATTAAAGTTGGTTGTATATACAAGTAATTGGCTGCTTAAATAATTGGGGACATTATCAATTGGACAAACTACTCAAATAGTTCCCTCAATCATGCATCCTTTGAAACTTCATGGAACATTAACCAATTGAAATAATATTGGAGGGATCACTATATATAATGCGGTCTTTGGGTTAAACATTCATTCACAAAAGAGGTTATTACATTTTACATTAATGTAATACACTTAAATCTATTTTTTTTGGATAATTATTTATTTTATTAATTGATTGTATCTTCCATATAAAATTTTTATCTTATTAATATATATATGTCTATCTTAAAAAAATATTTATAGATTCACCATCTTCATCAGCTCTATCACTGTATGTTTACAACTCCTCCATCTACCTCGTCAATTGTCTACAAGTTCCCACCTCCATCGTCTCCCTTCACCACCTATTTATGTTTATAAATCTTCATTATCACTATCTCCCTCGTCAGCTGTCACGCTCACCTTATGCATACAAATGTTCACCTCCATCATCTCCATCACCATCTTCTTTGTATGTTTACAATTCCCCGTCACCCTCATTTCCCTCGCCACCTCTATCTTATATCTAAAAGTCTGAAACTCCTCTCTCTTCCTCACCACATCCTTCTTATGTCCACAAGCCTTCTATTCCACTATCTTCATCACCCTATCTCCTTATGTCTATAAGTTACCTCTTCTATAATCTCTCTCACCGCCTCTTCTTTATGTCTACAAGTTCCCACTTCCACCATCTCTCGCATCACCTCCTCCTTATATAATCTCTCTCAATGCCTCTTCCTTATGTCTACAAGTTCCCACTTCCACCATCTCTCGCATCACCTCCTCCTTATATAATCTCTCTCAACGCCTCTTCCTTATGTCTACAAGTTACCACTTCCACCATCTCTTGCATCACCTCCTCCTTATACATATAAGTCCTAATCTCTGTCATCTCCTCCACCTTATGTCACCAAGTCTTCATATCCTCCTTATGTATACAAGTCCTCATCACCTTCAACATATGTCAACGAGTCTCCACCTCATCTACCTTACATTTACTAATCCACTATCCCACTATACATGTGGAGAAATTCATTAGTTATTTACATTAAGATTGAAATTTTTTGGGCTTTTAATAAGTTATCAAACTTTAAGTTAAAACTGGGCTTTAAACGAAGTATGGACTCTCTAAAACATAAATTTAATTATAAAATTAAATACAGTCTTAAGACTAATCATAATATAATCATATTCAATTGAAAACGATATGACAACTCATTACTGACTTTCCTTAACTTTAATTATCTTTGAAAATGCTTCACCACCTATCTTTAAAGTTGAACATTTATTTTTAGCTATCATTGCGACTGTCTTCTTCTTTGTAAATTGTTTTTTTTCTTCAGTATAGTAAATATAAATTCGAATTAATATTCATATCACTTCAAAATTTTGATCGAATACGAAAGCCAAAACTTTATTCCCTAGACCAAGTTTTGGACTTGATTCAAGGAATCAATCCATATTTCATTAACTAGTGGAGGTTTCTTCGTATTTATATTCTCAACTCTCTTAAACTAATAGCAATTAGTGATGAAACTTCGGTAACCAATTAAAGAAAATAGAAAAACCAAATTAATGCATCATGATTAGGGATAGTCAAGGGTCAGATTATGGCAGATTTCTACTTATTTGAACTTGATCCGAGTATTATATTATTTTTACCCATGATCTAATTCGATATAAGATTAGGAAGGCTCTAGTCGATCCGAGAACGAATCTGATTTTTTAAGTAAAAATCCTACTCGATACTAGGTCAAATATGTATCTAATAAAAAATAAAGAGAGAAATATTATTATAATTATCCTAAATCTAACCTAACCTCACCTTTAGAACAACTTGACCCGGACCTAAATTTTTAATAAAAATAAGAAAAATTGACCATATAAGATTAAATAGAATCATATGCAGGGTAAACTACATCAATAGTCACCACCTTATTATTACTTTTCTATTTTTGTTCAAGGAATTAGCTTTTTTTTTTTTTACAAAAGTATCACTATTAAAAATTTATATCTAAATAGTATCATATGCTTGGATTTGTTATAATTTCATTGAAATTTTATATTTTTATTTATCAAATAAGATAAAGGAAAATTAAGTATCTTATCATAGAAGAAGAGGATTTGAACCCATCTTATCCACTAAGTTAAGCTAAAAATTTATTAAATTCTATTAAAATTGATATTTAATTAAATTTTATTAACACCTTAAAATTATATCGAAATAGTATTAGGTAGATTGAAATTGAGACCGTAATAAAACTGAAATAATATTGAAGTATTGAATCAAATTATATAATTATTATAATTTTAACCAAACAGATATTTAATTTGAACTATGATTAAAACTGAAGATCAAACTATAAAAATAATATTAAATTATTTTAAAATTTTAGTTTATATTATTTATTTAAAATATAATATAAATTTAAAATCGTTTGAAAATAATTATATAAATTTAAATTTATCATTTTAATTTTTAAATAACATTTAACTAATTTAATAATAATCTAATTCACTAAAAAAATTAATAAATTTAATATCAATAATCAAAATTTAATTCATTTTGACCTTAAAAAATCACATTTTCCATCTATACCAACAAAGTTTTGAATTAATGACATTTCAATCGACTACCGAGAATCGTTAATATATCACAAAATATTAAAATAAATAAATAACAAGGTGCTTAACCATTCTAACGTGCATCCATTTGTTTGCCTTGTATTGACTTTTTAATCCAACCGCAATAGTTGGTAACACGTCTCATTTAATTTTGCTCGTCTGATTAAAAAAATATCTAAAACTTAATATTTCTAATTTGGTCAACCACATACTTTATATTTTATTAATTTTAATAACAATATTACAAATATAATTGGATTAATAACTAAAATATATTCGAATAAAATTTATTCAAAATAAAATTCACACACCATATATTTATACATGAACAACTATTTGTTGTATTATTTTCTTCTTTGTAACAATAATGAAAACTTAAAATACTAAAGAAAATATTTATAACAAAATAATTAATGCTTGGTGAACTCATGGAATTTGTGATATATGAAATTATATATATAGTTGAAGTTTTGAATATTATTTTAATGCAATAAGTTTGTTGAGAACATGTAAAGTACAACCTTCATTGACTTGTAGGAGCTGGTGGAATGTCACATTAATTTATTTTTGCAATAATTAATATTACATTTGAGAAACATATGGGATTAAATTATTTAATTGATTAAAGGTGGGAATTTTCATATGGACGAATTTAAAATTCCCAAGGATATTGGGGAGCTTACTATATAAACTTCAAGCTCTTTGTTGTAGTTAACAAAACAGAAATACAAATAGCCTTTTATTTGTATGGTATAGGAAGTAAAAACAAGTTGGGAGTTTCGGTGCCTTGTTCCCCCAAAATGGCCACGATTTGGCCACGCCTAGCATATGCCTTGGCATTGTGCTTGATAATAAGCACTGTAGCTGCCGACGGTGAGCCAACTCCATACAAGTACGAGTCACCTCCGTATAAATACGAGTCACCACCACCACCTTCATACAAGTACGAGTCGCCACCTCCTCCTCCCTATAAGTACAAGTCACCACCACCACCTCCGTACAAATACGAGTCACCTCCTCCTCCTCCTTACAAGTACAAATCACCACCACCACCTTCGTACAAGTACGAGTCGCCTCCACCTCCTCCCTACAAGTACAAGTCACCACCACCACCTCCGTACAAGTACGAGTCGCCTCCTCCTCCTCCCTACAAGTACAAGTCACCACCACCACCTTCGTACAAGTACGAGTCGCCTCCTCCTCCTCCCTACAAGTACAAGTCACCACCACCACCTCCGTACAAGTACGAGTCGCCTCCTCCTCCTCCCTACAAGTACAAGTCACCACCACCACCTCCGTACAAGTACGAGTCGCCACCTCCACCACCATATAAGTATGAATCACCTCATCCTCCTCCTTACAAGTACAAGTCACCACCACCTCCTCCATATAAGTATAAGTCACCACCACCTCCTCCATACAAGTATGAGTCACCACCTCCACCACCATACAAATATAAGTCACCCCCACCACCTCCATACAAGTACGAGTCACCACCTCCACCTCCATACAAGTATAAGTCATCACCACCTCCTTCATATAAGTACGAGTCACCTCCTCCTCCTCCCTACAAGTATAAGTCACCACCATCATCCCCATACAAGTATGAGTTACCTCATTCTCCTCCTTACAAGTATAATTCGCCACCACCACCTCCGTACAAGTACGAGTCACCACCTCCACCTCCCTATAAGTACAAGTCCCCATCACCATCTCCATACAAGTATGAGTCACCTCCTCATCCTCTCTACAAGTACAAGTCACCACCTCCACCTCCATACAAGTACGAGTCCCCACCTCCACCTCCGTACAAGTACGAGTCACCACCTCCACCTCCATACAAGTATGAATCACCTCCTCCTCCCCCCTATAGGTACAAGTCACCACCACCACCTCCGTACAAGTACGAGTCGCCACCTCCACCTCCATACAAGTACAAGTCGCCACCACCACCTCCATACAAATATGAGTCACCACCTCCGCCACCTCCATATGTGTACAAGTCACCCCCACCTCCTTCGTATGTTTACAAGTCACCTCCACCACCTACGCATTACAAATAAATTCCACAAAATCCTATTTTCATATAAAGATACCTTCTTCTCCAATCTCATTTATTTCCACCTCATTACATATGTAAGCCTCTGTGTCCTTCGTTACATTCGATTCCACCTCAAACCTCCAAGTCTCCTCCCCCAATATATATATTCCCTCCAACTCCATATTACTACACGCCTCCATCACCTCTTTATCCATGTCATTCCCTTACTTAACACTATAAGCCACCTCGTATCTATCAATGCGTGCACTAAGTTTAAAGAAGCCTAATTATTTAATAAAACAAAGGCATTTCCTTGTACATGCTTTGTGGTTTCATCTACCATTTTATTTAATCTAAGATACATTTATGTGTTCGATGTTGGTGTAATAAGAGAAGGGATTGTAGCTACAAGAAGTCGTCAATTGGTTTCTTGCAAGCTTTGTGGTTTGTCCTTCGAATTATAGCCCCCTTTGCGGGTAATGAATTTGTTACGTTTTCAACATTATTTACTTTGTAATTGTTTGTGATTTCCAATATCATGTTAATTTAAATTATTTTACGGCTATATGTTTCCATTTACTGTTAAATTGTTGAATTGATCTAAAAAAATCAATAACTCAACAATTTGAATGCAACAAATTAGCGAAAATTACCAATTCAAGTTCATGTGTTTACCAACATTTGAACTAACTTCTCAAATTCCATAAAATACAATGGCCGGATTTTGACAAATTAGAGTAACTAACTTATCAATTTCTATAAAACAAAAGGATGAAATACATAATTAGACCAAACAGGACCCTATCAAACAGTTCATGGGTAATAAAACGTTGACTGAATGGCTAAAACGAGTCCCTCTTAATTAATCTCAAGGCACTTGATCAACCCTCCACATTGCCAAGGCAAATTGGAAGGAAAAAATATTGATTAATTAATAATTCTTTTGGGTTGGTGCCTTCTGTGAGACGCTATTACAGAAAACAGAGCAAATGTCTGGAAATGACGGAACAACACGAAGACATGAAGTTTCAAAGAGATACTCAAAACCAACATACTCGTGCTGTCTCGGGAACATGGGGATCATATTGGAACATTAATTCCACCATGGAAAATATTATTTACTTTTAAAACAATCATGGATAGATCGTGAAAGAGTGGACGAGGATAATCGTATCATAAAAATTTCAAGTTTTTATACATTTTAGATAATCTTTTATATTTCCGATTGAAATTTTGTTTTCATCCTTTAATATTTATAAGTTCATCTTCCTTTATAATTTTATAAGTTTGTCCATTTTCTCGGAATATAATCCCAATTAATTAAGGTTATTTTAATATTTAGGAAGAGTTTTGAAATATGTTTTTATTCATTCAAAACATTGTTTTATGTTTTCACTTTGGTCGATGCCACTATTTAATTAGTTTTAGACTTCTAATTAGGTTTCACATTTGATTATGAATCCAATCAGATCGATTGAACTCAACAGAGATAAAATTGAATTGAATTATAAGAGAGGTTAAATTATTTAATTTTGAAATAAATATGATTTAAGAAAATAATTAAATTGTAATTATTTACCTTATTTTATTCTGGTGATTTAGTCTACCATAGCGGCATGTCTGGTGAAAAGAAGACATGTACCTTGGAAAACATACATGTCATTTGTCAAACTAATTAATTCCACCTAATTTATTACCAAAAAACTTTACATTTTACTTGCATGCATGAAAATCACTTTGACTTGTGCCTTCAGAAAGGGTCCCTTTTACTTACAAGCATAGGAAGTAATGATAAGTGAACTAAGCTTTATAATTAATTTTTAGAATTATAATCTTTAAAATATAATATTTTTTTACGTATTATTAAGAATGTTAAAAATTTATAATTTTTTATGAACTATATACCCCCTTTAAAATACATGTTTAAATCTTAAAAAATATATTATTAAGAAAAGCATTCTCTAACCCTAAATATAAATTGTAAAATCAAAATGAAAAAAATAAAAACAAAAAACACAATTGTTTATCCACCTTTAACTTGGCATCGTCGTCATCATTATTTTTGTTGTCTAGTAGGGTTAATTGTCAAAGAACTTTTAATTAAAATGGTTATGTAATTACTATTTTGAGAATAAACAACTAAATCGATATTCTTTTAAGTATTGGTTTAGGGTTATTTAATTATCGTTGCCCTTTTGTATATAAGAAACTGTGGAACTAATGCTAATAGCAAAAGTTTCATTTTCCACTTTAAGGAAGTTTTTAGATTTGTTAGCATTTAATTCGTTATTTATTCAATTGAAAAGGTAAAATAATTCATTCAGGGAAGGATTGAAAGGGAGCGGATAGGGGCATTCGCGATTTGGAATTTTAAAATTATCGTATATTTTAGATTTTTCTATGTATTTCTATTGAAAATTTATTTTCATCCCTTAGAATTTTATAAATTTATCCCCTCCTAAAATTTAGATGTTCAAATCATAGTATAAGATCGTGCATCCGTCCTTAAGTTCATTATACTCGGGTTTTCTTAATCGATAAGTGGTTTTTATAAATTAATTACTCACTAATTTAATTCTTTTCAAATGTATTATTAATGTATCGTCTATCGGTATGATGTTTTGATTTTTAATTTTAAAAACAAAAATTGAACTTATGAAAAAGAAAAAAAAAACAATTTATTAGCTTATCACTAATTAACATTTTCAAGTACATTTTACTTATTTTTTTTTCTATAAATATCATATTTATTATTGAGAAGTGACCCCATTCTCTATGAGTGGGTACTGTATGCAATTGTCCTCCTCATGTTCTTATATCTCTTACGCGGAACCGCATAAATAATGCCTTATTAATTTATTTATTCTCATATTATAATTTTTATTTAAAAATGAACTAGGTTGGTAAATTTATGGATGTTAAATTCTACACCATTATAAGTAACTTTAAATGAAATTAAATATATGATTGTGCAATTAATTGAAATCAAAATTATTGAATTTAGTTCTTGTCAATTTTTATTAAATTATAAATTGGCATATTTATTACACTAAACTTTAATTTTTTATGAATTATATTATTAGATCATTAAGTGGTAAGAGAATAATAATTTTCATCAACGATATGATCAAAATAACATCATTTTAGTATGGATATATCGATGCTCAAATTAATATTTTTTTACGGTTATATGAACTCTTTAGTTTATGTATTAGTTTTGTTATTGAAATTTAAAATGCTTTAATTTTAGACACTAAACTTTTTTATCATTACTAACAATCAATAGTCACTCATTATCAACTGTCATTCACGACAATATCAATATCAAATTGTAAGCATTTCACTCTTCATGTTTCTCTTCAATTTGATTTTTTATGAAGTACATTAAAAATCGATAAAAATCAATCTAAAGATTCGACACGCTAATACTTCGAACCTCCTTCAATGATTATCTAACTAAGGTGATATTGAGCTATATTGTTTGTCTTCTCTAAATGATATATCTCATCGTTCAAATTTTTGAACAAACACTATAAATCTCTCAAATTTAAGAAAACCTTCAAATATGTTAAAAATAATATATTTTTTATTTAATTTTATGAGTTTTGGAGATATTTAAGAAAATCTAAATTAATAAAATGAGAGATGATAATAAAACAAGTATATCGATTTCTAGAATGTTTGTAAATGACGTCGGAAAGTAATAATTTTTTATAATTAAAAGTTTATAAAAAAAATTAATTTTAATAAAAAAGATGATAAGATGAAATATGGTAAATTACATCGTTCATCATTGTACTTTACTCTTCTCCTATTTTGCTCATTGTACTTTCAATTTTTCTAATTTGCTCACTGAACTTTACAAATTGAATTATTTTGCTCACTCTCCCGTTGTCTCTATAACGTTTTGATGACATAGCATTTTTCATTTATTTTTAATATAAAATAATTAAAAAAACAAAAAAAAACTGAAGATGGTTGGATGTCACTGCCGACAACCGTAGATGGTGGTCGTTCAATCTTAAATTTCATGGGTCGCTTCGCCTCGACACCATGAGTCCGAATCTAACCTGCATTTTTTTTGAAACTTGCTCTGAAGTCCACAAAATTGAGATTGAAAGCGATGAAGAAGAAAAGTATCAGTCTAGATTTATGGGTTTTGAGACATTTTTCGGTGAAACAACCACCAAATTCGAACTCATGGGATCGAGGTGAACCGACCCATAAAATTTGGGACCAAACGACCACCATCAATAACGGTAAACGGTGGCCGGAATGAAAATAATGTGATGACCAACAGCAGCAACTGATCGCAGAGTGGAGAGAAAATGTGGAGAAGAAAAAGGAAAAATAAAGAAATGAAGAAAAATAAAGAAATGAAGAAAAAAAGGTTTTTTTAGTGGATTCGAAACGATATTATTTTGGTATATATTTGAATTTTTTCTTATGTCATTTTGATGCTTATGTCATTTCTTAGGTCATGTCATAATATCGTTAAATAATTAACGGTAGAGTAAATAAAATGATTTAATCTGTAAAGTTTAATGAGTAAATTAAAAAAATTAAAAATATAATAAACAAAATAAAAAAGAGTAAATTACAATAATAAACGATATAATTTACTCGATGAAATAAAATGAGATTGCGAAAAGTGGAGTTGGTTTGGGGACAGTCTATCAGCTGGTACTGAACGAAGCCGACAGCAGCGCGCCCACCAAAGCAACTGCTGGCTGTGCTCTGATTCACATTTGAGATTTACTGTTTCCCGACGCCGAATAAACAAACCCTCAACAAATTTTGTATTTCTTTCTTTAACAATAAAAAGGTTACATTTTATTTAAATTTGATTGTAGAATATAAAAATATTTGCTGATTTGGAAAAATAAATAATAATAATAACGGGATATTTAAGATAATATATTTTTAATATCTTTCTTTCTTGAGATTAGGTTAGAGGTTGTATATTTCAATAACCATGTAGGTTAAATCTGTCTATGCTTCTAATTACCAATTGGTTGTACTAAAAAATTCAAAACATGTTATCAGCCTAAGTCGTACAAATTTTAAAATAATTAAAATTTCAAGTGTCTATATTTTGCGAGGAAGTTGTCAATTTTACAGGTTTTTTAGTTAGAGTTGTTAAACAAATGACATGTAGTTAAAATTTGATTAAAAATCAGTGTATATATAAGTATGGAGTTAATTATTTTATATATTGTTTATTGATGATTTAATTTTACGCTCTTAAGGTTTGATAATTCATTTTTTAATATTAAATTTTATGTACGTCCTTATATTTAAACAGGGATTCTAAACGCAGTCAACAAAGATCTATTAGGTGATATTGCTTTTACTTCAAGTGAAACACTTGTTCGACAAAATTTACATGATCATTTTGATAAATTCGATAACTTTAGGGTTTTCTTCGTTCATCCAGAAAAGTTCTATGTTGAATCAAGTTAAGTCTATTATTTTAACATATTCCACAGGGATGGACATAATGTATTGGTGTCCATTTCGACATGTGAGTATAATGTCTCATAATAGAACTCGAGAACAAAAGTCTTTTCAATTTCTTATGGGTATTAACCAAACATATTCTACTATTACATGTCATATTTTACTCATAAAATCATTACCTACGGTCAAACAAACGTACAATACAATATTTTAACAAATAAAGAGAAAATCAGAATCCATTTTTTAAATATTTTACTTCTTTTTTTCTTTTATATTCTCAGCTAGGTTAAAGGACTCTGGGTTGTATTTCGAACCAATTCAGCTGATCCACTAGATCCATTTTTTTAATATTATTTCAATGTAATGATTAAATGATTTTTAATTAGTGAAATAAGCACCAAATTATATATTGTACTCTTATTCAAAGAAATTACATTTGAATCTCCGAATATTATTGAAAGAAGCAATCACAAACTTCGAACATAAATCATAAAACAAATATAAAATATATTAAAATAAAATCCAAACTAGTTTTTATTTTATTTTTATTTTTTGTATTTGATTGAGTTAATTATAAGGTAGTATATGCTCATAATCTTTTTAACTATTGACAATACGTACACTCTATAAATACAACCGTTAGAATTCAAGATCTCTCAAAAAATATAATAATCTCTTTAATCACTTAATGCAATTATTGAAATCAATTAATGTAATTATTGTATTCAAATAACATTAAAGCCTTTTTATATTAAAATAAACTTACAAACACAAATGTCAAATTTAAAAGGTAGACATTAATTTGCACACTAATAAAGAAGCAACCGAGAAGCTAAGTAGGGGAGACAAAACTATAAATCCAATTACCGACTGTCTTTACTCCTTTCCACAACATTAATTTTACATCTTCAACCTCTATTTTTATACATCATTTTCCTGCACTTTCCACACAGTAGCAATGTTCAACCTTTACCTTGTTCTTTCAACTTCCCCAGATTTATCCTCTGCCCCCACTCTTTCATTTCTTTAATACTGTTTGTTTAGTACTCAACTTTGGGTTTTTTCTGCTGATCTCGTTGAGTCCTCTGGGGTTCCTCTCAAGTCTCAACCTAAAAAAAAACCCTATATTTCTTCTACTTCAACCGCTATCAGGCCATGTCTGATTCTGATCCTTACTCCAATTACTTCAATGGCTGGTTCAATCTCAGCCCTTTCAACTCTATCTTCTCCTCTTCATCCTCTTCGAATCCATTTTCACTTGCTGCTTCTAATGGCTACTACTACAATGGTTACTGGAATACCATCATCGACGGGAACCCTTCTTCCCCTCCACTCAAAGAAGCTCTCCCTCTTCTTCCAACAAGGCGTGATGAAGAACAACAGGAGAGTTCTTCCATGGAAGTGGAGAAAAGCAATGGGAATGATGAAGAAACCGTCACTGTTGCTCTTCATTTGGGACTCGCCCCGGGTAGCCCTAGTTCTTGTGCTGATTTGATCTCGAGATTTCCAACATCATCGCCTGCTGATGTTCAAGAAGACTCAGGGTCGGGTACTGGTGCAGATAAAGAAGATCATGACACTGTTAATGCTTCACAATACCTATCGAATACGCTCAACAAGGGTCAATATTGGATCCCTACTCCTTCTCAGATCCTGATTGGACCTACTCAGTTTTCATGCCCGCTTTGCTTTAAGACCTTCAACAGATACAACAACATGCAGGTATATACACTTGTTTTCGAGCTTGATTTCAACACTTTCAGTTTTGTTCTAAGCCTGGTTATGATGATTATAAGATAGAAAACATATGGTTCCTTAGGGTTTTTCTCTTTACTTTTTGCATGATTTCTGGGGTGTTGGGATTTGAAAATTAAGAATAAATCTATAGCTGGTCCAGTTGAGTCACCAACTCACTTTATGTGATTGAACAACACAAGATTTATGCTTCTTTTTTGGTACCTTGAAGTTTGTGTTCCATTGGCTGATGCCTAGAACTGTCAGTATCCCAGTTTTCATCCAGGCTTATCAGACACTTTTTAATTGACTAACCTAAACTAAACCCCCACGGCTTAAGCAAAATCAAAATGTGAAGCTGAGCCATTTCGTCCTCTATTCTTTTGATGCTTATACAACAATAGCAATAGGAATGGAACCCTAATCAGAGAAAAAATGGTCCTTTATTTGAAAAAATTTCAGCAAGTTTGTTGTTCAACGAACCATTAATGCAAGCAAATATTTTTTCCATGTACTCAAATTCTATGTAGATGCATATGTGGGGGCATGGATCACAGTATAGAAAAGGGCCAGAGTCACTAAGGGGAACCCAACCAACAGCAATGCTGAGGTTGCCTTGTTATTGTTGTGCACCGGGGTGCCGGAACAACATCGATCATCCTCGGTCGAAGCCACTCAAGGATTTCAGAACCCTACAAACACATTACAAGAGGAAGCATGGGATCAAACCATTCATGTGTAGGAAATGTGGGAAGAGCTTTGCGGTGAGGGGTGATTGGAGAACACACGAGAAGAACTGCGGGAAGCTATGGTACTGCAGTTGTGGGTCTGATTTTAAGCACAAGAGGTCTCTCAAAGATCATATAAAAGCATTCGGGAGTGGCCATTCGGCTTACGGGATTGACTGCTTTGATGAAGAAGATGAATTTGGTTCTGACAATGAGCAAGATAATGAATACTCTCAGTAACACGTATTAATTATAAGCCATTATGATCTTTGTACTCTCCCTTTTGTTTATTTTTCTGGGTTTTCCTTTTTAACTTGGTAATGGTATTAGAGACTCCTCATCGATCAAAGCTGGACCAAGTTCCTGCATGTAATTCTAATTAAGGAAAATGTGGAATTATCACTTCAGTTCAGTGTTTTTCCCCCCAACTTTGAAGCATATAAACATGCTGAAATTGAATCAGATCATCAACTTCAAATTAAGCAACTACTCATCAGATCAAAAGATGATTGTATAGGGATTTTATACACCTTGGGAGAAGCTAGAATCCTCAACAGGGTTGGTATTGAGGTAAGTGTAAGCCTGTGTCGTGTTGTTCTCTTTGTGTGATAATGGATCAGAGATAGTTAGGAAGAGACTGTACGTGAACAGGGAAAAGGAGGTTGGTAATGATGTGATAGGTCGACATTATTTAATTCATTAACTCTTCTTGTGCGTGTCAAATGATAATTCCCTTTGTATGGTGGACACACACATGACCAATGAATTTCAAGTAAAATCAGGAATTTAAATTTAAAAAAAAATACTATTCCAACATATATTATTTTTAAAAGTGTTTCTAATTTTGATATAATTTTTAAGAATAATATTAAACGAAATCTTTAAAAAAGTTTTACCTGCATTGTGAAGTTTGATTTAGAAGGGAGTGGATCTTCTCGATGGCAGCTTTACTTGAAAGACTTTTGGTGACATGAGACTTGAGAGAGAAGCAGCGACAGAGGGTCAAAAGATTGCTTATGAAATGTCATGTCAATGCTTCCATATATATATATACACTATCTTCAGTTTCTATACTTTATAATACTTAAATTATTTTTATTTCGTAAGATAGGTATAAACTTTAGATTGAATGAATTTAAATTTGATCTAATTTTACATAATTGATTTTTTTTAAAAAAAATTAAGTTTTGATCGAGTTAAATTATTTGACTGATAAGATAAAGTTTAACCAGATTTTAATTTAAGGTAAGAAAATTTTATTTGATTTGACTCAATACAAGATAATATTATAATATTTCTTTATATATTTAAGAATAATAACAATAATATCAACCTCTTTGTTTTCTTAATTTGATTCTTATTTACCTTATAAAAATAATAATGTTATATATGTGTGTTAGGTCGCAAACTGTATGCGAGTTTTTACTCAAAAAATATGTTGAGTGGAGCATCCTTAGACTCAAATTGATTAGTGTAAAACGTGCAAAGAAGTAGTACTCAAATCAATCAAAAAATTAATTCGATTCCAATTATATTTATCCCTAATTATATTCACAATTGTATATTGGGATTTGAAGCAATCATATTTTCTAAATTAGCACATGATATAAGTATTTTTATGATTTAATTTTATATTTTTTAAAATTAATAATTTATATATCTTCAAGTTATAATATGATTTATTGAGAATTTATTATTTTATTAAAAATCATACATTATTTGATATTTTTTAATGGAAGTCGTTGGTCTTATTAAAAGTTAAAAATATTTAAAATTATAATAAGAATTTTCCATTATCACGGTAAACTAAATACAAAATTTAGACATTTTCCTACTACATTGAAATTGGTCACCTTAAATTATACATTGAAAAAGTTAAAAACTCAACTAAAAGACTCGAATGGAAAATAGATATAAATAAATTTGATTGCATCGACAAATGAATCACAAAAGGAGATTAAATTATTGAAAGATCACCGAGAACAACAAATCAAAGCCAAGCTTCGTGAGAAACTGTCCACGAATGCAAGATCGCGTATTCAAATTCAGTCTAATGGTCCATAGCAGGGAATATCAACAAGATTATAAACAAGTGTCATCTTGATCAAGTGTGACATTGAAAAACATAAAATAAAAACAACGGGCAAACGACCGAGAAAGAAGTCGAAAAGTGTACCACAAAGACACAAATATGTTACAAAAGTAGAGTTATTTTTATTAGAAACTTAAAAGACAGAAAAAAAAAACTTACGGTCTACAATCAACGTTAAAATTGATGTTGCGATCGACTAAATAAAAAAAATAATTGAGTATATATAAAATAGACATTCATATTTCATAAAGCATCAAATACGTTGTGTTTAATTTTATGTCGTACCCAGGCAAACAAAACGAAAGAGAAACGGAAGTTTTTCCATTTCATGTCATATTGGTGCGCTTCAGTTTACACAAGAGTGAGGTAAGCTTTGACAGTGTTTGGAGAGAGAGAAAATCTGCAGTTTTGATTGTACATCTAGATTTAACACAACAGTGTGAAAATGGATATTTTATTTATTTTCCCTTGATGACTCCTTTCTTCTTATATTAATTTGTACACTGATCTTTCTCTCGTTGCATTTTCATCCTCTTTGACTATCTAAAATCACTTTCTAATATATAATTATTTTATAAACATAAGAGGTTGAAATGTGTTTTAAAAATATCACTTTTTAGTTTTAGGGGTCGTGAATTAATATTGAAATATAAGATTAATCTGAAAAGTAGAGAAAAACTATATAAAATAAAAATATTGAGAAAATTAGGATTTTTATTATTATTATTTTTAGGGTAAATGGCACAAATAATTCATCGATTATAGAGTATTATTTTATTAAGTCTCATGATTATTAAAAGTTACAAAGTTATATTCAAACTATAAAACGTTGTTTTTTAGTCCTCCGACTATTGAAAGTTAAAAAATGATTACTCGACTATTGCTTTCAAGCATTGACTCGAAAATATAATGTTTCAAGCAAAAGCTCGACATTGTTTTTTAATCTCTTTAGTTTTTCTTATTTGTATGTCTGAGTATTTTTTTATTTTGTTTAGGGTTAATTATTGAATTGTTATATGTTCGTATATACTCTCACTCTCTTTTATTAAGAAAGTTAAATTTTGGTTATTTATATTGTCAATTGTTATCTTTTGGTTACCGAGTCTTTAACTTGACATGGCACATTAGTGAAAATAGTTATTTTTTAATTTGAACCCTGAACTTTAAAATATACTAATTTGGCCTATAAACTTTAGATAAATATCATTTTAACCATTAAACTTATATAAATTATCAAATTGACCACTAAATTCTACCAAAGTCTTCAATTTTCGATCATTACTCAAAATTGACATCGATCATCATCAACGATGATTGTTGGACCCCAAAATTTTCGATTCAATCTTTTTTTTTACCTGTTGACCGTGAATTTGATGTATGTTTCACTAGAAAATACCAAAAACACAACAAATATAGTCTAAAATACTTTAATTTCCTTTAAAATTAAATTATAATAATAGATTTATCATGAATATTCCTTTAAAAATAAAGAAAGCAGATAATTAAATCTATATCATAACCAAATCCATGGATTTTTGTTTTTAATATTATATTTTTTTTCTTATATTAATAATATTAGCGAAAATTTTATATTTTTTCCTTCCTTATCTGAATAATTCACACATTATGCTGGAGAGAAATATGATTAGTTTAAAGCAGTTGTCTTGGTAAAAAAAAAGGTTATACTTTTGTTGTATTTAATTTTATTTATGTAATAAATTTAAATATTATTATTAGTTTAAAAATTGTTTAAAATAATCTGATGTATAAATAAATAAATTTAAATTGACAGATACAACTTATTATTTAAAATGAGACAATACATAGATAAATTCAAAGAGATAAATACAATTAGTAGTTGCAAATGATATAAATGACTGGTGCAAAGAATTTAAAATGACAACATAAACAAATAAAAAAACACTATGTAATTGTTTACCGAATCTTGTCGAAAGAACAAACTCATTAAACAACTATTGAACAATAAAAAAACTTGTTAATCAATTCAATTTGCAAATGCTTAATCCAGGATAATTGCAACAACAATATTCATACAAATATTTGCACTCATTTTCATTCCAACAACCTCTCCAAACAAAAAAGTTCTTTGGGGTTTACAAGTGTATGTGAAAAATCATAAAATCACGAATAAAAAATCTCTTTAAAAAATAAATAAATAACAATATTAATGACTAAAATATAAAAAAAAACATTTACATAATTATTTAGAGACGAACAAGAGTTGTAATTTTTTTTTTGGTGAAGTAAAGAAAATAACTCCCTATAGCTTAACTAATATGGGTTTCCTCTTCAAGGAGGCGGCCGACAATCGCTGATGGTGGTTCTTTAGAGATTTGCACTTCTATATCTGTTGGATTTACTTCTTTATTTAGACGATCTGCTATTATGTTACTTGCTTGTGGGGCATGTTGGTACCAGACTGTCTATTGTTTCTCGTTGAGCTCCTGAATATAAAGGATGATAGTTGGTCTATTCTCTTGAGCTGGCTCGTTAACCAATAAGCGCACAGTCTCTATTGTTTCTTAATGTCTTGTTAAAATATATTTTGAAGTTAAGATATTTAATATTATTAATTTTGATTAAAGTATTTACATACTAAAATATTAGATATATATTATTTGTTGTCTGAAGTATACCAATTGGTTGCTTTGGCTCAATGATTTGGTGCTTGCTTTTTATCTCATGCATGGGCGGAACTTCATGGGGGCCAACAGGAGCCTTGACCCCGCCAAATTTTTAAGCTTTAAATAATATAGAAATATATATTTAAAAAAAAACAAAAAATTTACCAAGCTCTTCTCAATTAAAAAAATTGTATTTATAAAAAATAAAAAATACTTTGACCTCCACTTTAATAAATTCCTAGTTACGCTCCTTATACCATGGGTCCTTGGTACTAATCCCCTTACCTCCTTATGCGTGGATTTATTTTCTTTCAAAAAGAGGGTGACTCCTCCAATTGAATGATGACACATGACACCTCCGGATTTGATGATTAAATTTATTTTAATTTATTAAAAAGAATATATAAGTAACATGGACCAATAATGTAATTATACCAAAATGTTTTAACTGCCACGTCACCTATTCGGTTGAATTTTAAAGGTAGGTGACTTGATTGAAGCATTTAATTAGTTGGGTGATCTAATTGATCAAATTGAAATGTCGATGGTCAAAATGAAAATGAGAAATAGTTTAGTTGTCACCCGTGTAATTTACCCTTAATTTTTTTGCATTAATATGTTTTTTTTGTTACAATATCAATATGTTATTGATATAAAATAAGATCGGAGATGTCTATTTATATAATTAAATTCCATGTATTAATGGTTGAGATTGTTCTAAATGTAAAAACAATACTTTGAACATAGACTCAGAGTAAAAGGAAGTTAAAAGTGTCGGAAATGCCTTGGTCTAAAATTCTAGAAAATTTAAGTGGGTTTTATCTTCTTGCCCATTTTAGAATTTTCTACCTGTTGGGCTTTTATTGATGTATTAAAAATATCATGTCGTTCATTAAAAATTTGAGAAAAATAAAAATATTTTATAAATGTTATAATGAAATGCAACCTTTTAAATATATGTATATATTAAACTTCAATATCTATTATTATTATTCATGCAAATATTTTGCTGAGAGACAATCAATTTTTTCAGAAATTCCTCGAATATTATGGGTAAAATGATTAATAGATTTTTTAATATATATATATATATAATGTTATTTTTTAAATTAATGATTGATATATAAAATTCAAAATCTCTTAAAAACGAAACAAAAAACAAATTTAGACATGGAATTAGAGAAAATTTAATAATTATATAGTAATTAATTTCATTATATAACAAATAATAATAAAAAAATCATTCCTTATATATTAGTAGAAGCGTGAGACGTGGGTCCTGCTCCCTTACGATGGTGCAATTCGGTCAACGCAAAAATATAAAACAGCACAACACTTAGGCAGGGACCATCCGTCTCATCAACACTCCAATTAATGCCACGTGTGATTCTTCTTACTATTTTTAATTATTTTATCAAATTCATCTCATCGCCATTTATATACTATTAATCTCGACGTCGTAGTTACTGTGACGATATTTTTACAAATCGATGTTAAAAATTAAGATTAAACATAATTTTATTATTGTTTTAACTTATAATTATATATTTGTTAATGATTAAACCGAAATTCTATCATTGTTAGAGGGCCAAAATAGAATTTCCCATTAACTTAGCTTAAACGCTTCAATTTTGAAGGGACTAAGATTGAATTTCACAATTGATTCCGCCCTAAGCTTATTCAACACCATGTGTGCGAAAACCAATTAGGTGGTCAACAGATTTCTACTTGGGAACCGAACAAAGTCCTTGAATTAAATCTTTCATTAGTTTTAAATATATACTATATTACCCTAATTTATTGTAATTTTTTAGAGAAATATTAGAGTAATTATCACTCAACATATACTCGCACGTAATAGAGAAGTGTTAATTTTTTAAAATAATTTATTTCCTCGGTAACTTTAATAAATTATTTCATTTCAGTACACACACCTCTTCAACACTTCGCAGGGGGAGTGAATCTCGCGGATCTAAAAAAAATTGTATTATTTGTTTATTAATTTATTTTTGCTTTGTAATGAAAAAAAATAGGAGAGGCCAAACCCATTTCCATAGCTTATTTGATCTTTCTCTTTGTACTCATCTTGAGTTTAATTTGGTTACTTTACGTTCGCTTAAGATTAAATTTAAGTTTCAGGTTTAATTATGATATTAAATTATTAATGACACAATGATATAGTTGTTATTAAATTTTAAAGTACTTCAATTTTAGCCATGTATTTTTGTTTGTGTATTGATTTGATCATTGTAGAAAATTATTAACTCTTTTGATCGCTGTTTCTGTTCAAATGTAGTCCATTACTAGTTGTCGTTTACACCAATATTAGTATTAAAATATTTACATTTCATTCTTCTTCTTTTTTCATCAGACTAGTTTTCTATAAAATCTACAGAGTCGATGAAAATTCATCTCAAGGTTTAACGTTTTAATGTTATGATCTCCTCTTATTATCGTATGATTAAACTAGTTTTAGGATATATTGTTTGTCTTCTCGAAAAAAAAATCTTACAATTAAGTTTTCATACAAACACCCTCCACTTCACTTCTCAAATTTGAGAAAACCCACAACTCCCATACTGATAATTTTGTATTTAGTTTCATAATTTTAAAAGAGATTTTGAGAAAATTTAAATGATAAAGTGATAGATAATGATATACCGAGTTTATCGATGTCTAAGATAACTGCAAAAGACATTAGAGAATGACAATTTATTATGATAGTTAAAAATTTTATAAAAAAAAAACCCTCAAATTTGAAAAAGATATGTGAAATAAAAAATATTTTTGGTTTTCATGTTAATGATTTAACAAGTCAATTTTTTAAATGAATCCGAAACTAAAAATTTAGTATTTAAATGAAAACATTTTCAATTGTAAAATCGAGACATATTCTAAAATTCAATGATATTTGATATGATTATCTATAATAAATAAAATTATACTAAATATAGTAAGTAATAACCTCATTAATCAATTAAAAAAACTGATGTATATGATCATATTTAAAAGTTAAATCACGTTAGTGAAAAATATCTTATTTTAAAGTGAGAGGGAGCAAGGGGATATAACTTTACGTGCAGTGGTGAACTGTTTGGAAAATGCTGGCTTTGAGGAGTCATCTACTGCTTGGAACGAGGCCCCGAGAGTTCCAATACACCCAAGTGGGACTTGCAAACATTAATTAATTACCTTAATTTTATAAGCTTAAACATTAAACACTGCTTGAGATTTTGTATCTTGCCTCTTGGAACAACTTGTGGGACTTTGTTTTCATAAATACTCCAACTCAAAATACCTTTATTTTCTTATTTTATTATTCGGATACGAGTGATATTCATATAAAACTCTCCTAATAGTGATAATTTTAAACTTTAAATATGATAGTTTCAATAATTTTGTGTGATTATAAAATAGTATTTGTTCATAAATTTATTAATTTATTAATAAAATATACATAAGTCCGACAAACACATCTCCTCGAACTTGAGATCTCTAAGGAGAACAACATATTTGCGAGCGTCTCAACTGAAAAATGTATCTATTTAACTGCTGCATTGTCTCTCCTCTAAACTTTCTTCTCCTCAACCGTCTGCAAATTTTGAGGCTAAAGCATTTTTGTTGTCATTTATGATCACTTCACTCTGTCACTTGTTGCAGCTATGAATCCAAACAACTGGCTCCCTTTCCCTCCTCCAACTCATTCTTCATTGCCACCACATTTACAGTATTCTCAATCCCACCACTTCAATCTGAGTTTAATGAATGATAGTATGGAAAATCCATTCCATGTCCAAGGTAACATACATAATACATATGATATATGTATATGTATAGCATCTCTCGATCTGATTAATTTCTCACTATCATCTTCTTTTACACAGAATGGAACCTGATAAACAGCCACGACACAAGCGAAGCTCCCCCCAAGGTTGAAGATTTCCTCGGAGTATCTAAACCCCAAAGCCCATCCTCGGATCTTGTTGGCTTCAACAACGTCTATGAGTTCCATGAAAATACCGGCAACTTGCACTCACTGACGTTATCTATGGGCAGTGGCGGCAAGGGCGGCTCGGCCTGTGAAACCGGTGGTGAGAATGGTTCGAGTATCGTTGAAACACCCCCTGCTAGAAGAAGTGTCGACACTTTTGGGCAAAGAACATCCATTTACCGTGGCGTAACAAGGTGAGCTTGGACCATTTTCATCGGCCAAATCATGGGTTATGTTTAAGTGGAAATGGATTCGTAAACAAAGTTTCTTGCAAAGTGCAGGCATAGATGGACTGGAAGATATGAAGCTCATCTTTGGGACAACAGCAGCAGGAGAGAAGGGCAATCAAGGAAAGGACGACAAGGTTGTACTTCTAGGGTTTTCTTTTACATTTCATCTTATATAAACTCATATCTTAACATTTCCTAACATTTTTTCTATATTGTTTTCATGGTTACCTTGATTTACATCGTTATTCTAGTCTACTTGGGTGAGTACAGTTCTCCCTATTTATATATACATATATATGTATATGTATATGTATATCATCAATAATTTCAACTTTGTGAACTGCAAAACTGTTTTAAAAGTACTCCATGTTGAGCAGGCGGCTATGACAAAGAAGAGAAAGCAGCCAGGGCTTATGATCTTGCTGCACTAAAGTACTGGGGAACATCCACCACCACTAATTACCCGGTATATAAGTTTGTGTTCATATTTCATGCACTGGTAGTAATTTCCCGGATCATATAAGTTTACCGTTGTCAGTTCTAAAGGTGACTTTTTTTGTGATTTTTGCAGATTAGTAACTATGAGAAGGAGATGGAAGATATGAAGAACATGACTAGACAAGAATTTGTGGCCGCAATTCGAAGGTACTACACAGAAATGAGAATATATTAAGTCAATTATGAAACTAACTGGACAAGATATGATCTTTTGTTTCAAATATTTTGTCAGAAAGAGCAGTGGTTTCTCAAGGGGCGCATCCATGTACCGTGGAGTCACAAGGTAGACTTAAACTAGACAAAATTACTTTCAAGTGTATTAGTATCGTATAACGTACAAGTATCTTTATGTACAGACATCATCAGCAAGGCAGATGGCAAGCGAGGATTGGAAGAGTTGCAGGCAACAAGGATCTTTACTTGGGAACTTTCGGTACAGAAGAGGAAGCTGCCGAAGCTTATGATATTGCAGCAATTAAGTTCAGAGGACTAAACGCAGTGACCAACTTCGAGATGAATCGGTACGATGTAAAAGCCATCCTCGAGAGCAATGCATTGCCCGTAGGAGGAGGAGCTGCTAAACGGCTAAAGGAAGCTCAAGCACTTGAAGAATCATCAAGGAAACGTGAAGAAATGATAGCTATTGGTTCAACTACTTTCCCGTATGGAAACCCTGGCACGAGCAGGCTTCAGACTTACCCTGTAATGGGAGAACCATTCGAGACACCTCAACAACCATTGCTAACTTTGCAAAACCACGACTTTAACGCTCAATACACTCAAGACTATGTTCAAACACAGTTGCAGTTGCACCATCAATCTTGGGGTTATGATTTGCACCAGTCGAGCCAGGATTCTCAATTCTACAACGGGTACATCCAGAACAATCCGGGTTTTCTCCAGGGGTTGATGATGAACATGGGGTGTTGTTCACCATCTGTTGTGGATAACAATGGAAGCTCTAGTGGGAGCTATAATGGGATTGGGATGGCTTCCAACTCGACAGCAGTGGGGTCAACGGAAGAGCTGGCATTAGTTAAGGTTGATTATGACATGCCTTCTGAGGGCTATGGTGGCTGGTCTGGGGACTCGGTTCAGGGCTCTAATCCTGGCGTTTTCTCGACGTGGAATGACTAAAAGAATTTTGTTTAGACTACCACAAAACAACTGACAATACCTCATTACTGATGCAGTCCGACAATCTTTTATATCAGCTAAGTTTGTGGGAGAAGATGGAAACTAGTGCAGCTGTTTCAAACAAATAGATGAGTAAAACCTCTTTCATCTAAAATATTTCTTCTTTAACTTTGTTTATGCATTTTGGTTGATGTTTATGGTTCAATTGCGGCCAAATTTTGTATTCGGAAAATCCAAATTAAATTGCTCATTAACTTGTTATGGTCTGTAAACGTCAATATGAAATTTTATAGTTTGATCTAGTCCGAGCCATTGTAGCATTGCGATGTCGAAGAAGGACGATTGAAGTTCTTTGGATATCCCGAGAGGCAAACAAGCTGGCTCACTTCTTGCCAAAGCTTGGCTCTTCATCTTCTCTCCAAAGATGTTTGTAACTCTTTTGTAAACCTCACTCAGGCTACTAGTTAGTTTATCTCATCTCTTTCAATTCAAAAAATAAAATAAAAAAGTGTGTGCGCGAGAGAGTTGTATAATAATAATAATAAATGAGGAATAATCTCAAAGCTAACAGTAAAAAAAACACCAGCCCAATAGTTCAGGTATTACAAAAATTAAGTCCGATAGTCCCATTTGACGATCCAATCCAATTAAAAAATGAAAATCACACAAAAATATTCATCGATTATATGTTTATATAACTTAAAACAAGCTCATGGGTTGGATGTTTGTGTTTGCGAATGGGATAAATTAGGAATGAGCACATCAGGCAGGTTTCGATCCTACCCAATTTGATAGGGTCGATTTTTTTTTAAAAAAAATCGGGTTCAGGTCGAGTTGATTCGGGTTTAAGGTGAAAAATATTCAACTCGACCTTATCCGAAAAATATAATTTTATCTTATATATTTAGGGATAATTGTAATAATATCGTTATACATATTATTATTATTTTTAATTAAATCTCTATTTTTATTGAATAAAAATAATATTTATTAATAAATATATTATTTCTGTTGGATCTTATCAAGTTCGGATTTTATCTAAAAATAGATAGGATCGGGACAGGTCGAGTCAGGTGGAAAGTATATTTTTCGAGTCGAGTCGAGTGGAGGTTGTATAATTTTCGGGTTGGATCGACCGGAAACCCTACCCGATCCATGTCCATCCCTAAAATAAATTTATTGAAAATATTGTATTTGCTCCTACAGTACTCAATCCTAATCTTTCAATTAATAAATCAAATACATAAAGTTATACCAATATATATATATATGCTACTAGAACCTACCGAAAATTTCATCTATTATAGTTATAACAGTAAAATGATTATTTTCCTTTATTCCTTCTCTAATAAAGTGGAGTTTTGTGTGTGTGTTTTTAATCCGGACATTTCATTATTCTTCAAATATTTATTATATTCGATCGTTGATTATCATCATCTATACTATTTTGTTTAAATCATAAATTAATTGTCTTGAGTCATCAATATTTATTATTAAGTATAATTTTAAGATAAAATGTATAAATCTAAATAGTCACTTTCGCCATGATATATAAATTTATTGAACTTAAATGTAATATAATGCTGGTATAAATTTATTCATAAATCACATATTATCATTTTATATTGAGTTTTTTCATGTTATATTGAGTAGGATATATTCAGATATTTATACATATTATTTTTACCGTTTAATATTAAAATTTTACATAGCATTAGGTTTTTTTTGGTTAATAGATATTACTAGGATTCATGTATTCTAAATGTTATATACACGGAATAAGATATTAACTTTCGTAAATTTATTATTTATTTATTTGACTAATAACTTATTTAATTTAGATTTGAATAATATTACTTGAGTTTAACGTGAAAACGAACAATTTCTGTTAATTAGGATGCTACGGAAATTAAAAACATCTGACATGCATGCTATTATCTCAAAATTCTCATAAAAATTATACAATCTTATGTAATGTAAACACGTACCGTGTATAATTTGAATCAGATCAACTAGAAACAGAAAGTGTTGACCAAAGTGGGACACAGCTGCAAGTAGAGGTCAAAAATGCTCCCCAGTACCAGGATTGAATATAAAACTTGAGAATTATCTTTATTTAAGTTTACACTGAAAAAACGAGAAAAGGAGATGACAATATTAACCAACGAATCAACAAGATGCAAGTGGTTTTCCACAAAGACAATCGTTGTGAGTAAGTGAGGATGCTTCAAGATGATCAAACGGTGCTCCGGCCGGAATGCGCCCGCATAGGTGGTTGTAACTCAAATCTAGGTGTCCGATGTAAGCTGCCGTCGTCAATGTTTTCGGTATCGGACCCGAAAGATTGTTATACGCTAAATCGATCACGGTAAAATAAGATTTCGACCCGAAAACATCCGGTATTTTCCCTTCTAACGCGTTTCGACTCAAATTCAAGTTCTCAATGGAGGAAGTCAAGAGAGTTGCTGGTACTGTACCCGATATTTTGTTGCAATCCAAGTTCAATGTCGTGAGAACCGCCATTTTCCCGAGAGAACTAGGAATCGGCCCAGATAATTTGTTCATTGAGAGGTCTAAATCGGCGAGACGATAAATTTGAGAAATTGACCCAGGGATCGGTCCGCTTATTTGGTTCTCACTCAACAAAGCCCGGCTCAACATCCGGAGTCGCCCGAAATTTCTCGGGATAGGACCCCATATTTTGTTGTTTCTCAAATCGAGATGCATCAAGCTCGATAAACTCGTCAACGAAGCCGGGATTCGTCCCGATATTTGGTTATCAGCGATATTTAAAACCGTGAGACGTTGTAATTTCCCGATATCTGCAGGAATTTCTCCCGATATCTTATTGCCAACCAAATCGAGGATCCGCAGAAACGGCAGCGTAGTGATGCATTTAGGGATCTCGCCAGTGATTCCTTTCCAATCAGATATAGTAACACTGGAAAGACGAGTTAACTTGCATATTTCGGGGGAGATAAACCCGGTCATGTAACCGGTCCGGTGTGCTCGTCCGAACATGGGGTCTTGGGACTCGCCGCGGAGGTTAATGTCGGCGACTTTGTGTGACTGGAGATCGCAGCTGATGCCGTACCAGTTGCGGCAGCAGTCGGTGCCCGTCCATGAATCGAAGAGCTTCAAGTGAGGCTCGTGGAGAGCTGCCTTGAATGCTAACAGCGCCTCCCTGTCGGACGGCGGGCAGCTGGTAACGGTGGAGATAACGGCAAATGATAATGCCAAGATGATGTTGAAGATTATCTGCATTGTTTCTGTGTTTGCTATGAAACGGAAGATGTTTTTTTAAATACTATTTTGGAGAGTGAAGCACGGTGGTATGAGTTAACATGTGTTTAATTTATAAGCGGTAAGTGCGAGATCTTTCGGACAGTTTTACCCCTAACGTCCATCGTACCATGGAGCTTTCTTAGAACGTTCATTGTGGTTTTGACAATCATTATATCGCATTTTTTTTTTATAGTTTTCTTAATATATTTTATGCCATATTAATATTTGATATTTAGATATATCAAAAATCTTTTAACTCATTTTTATAATTAAATTTAGAATAAAAAAGAGAATAATTTAATCTTTAAAATTTTATAATATTTAGGTCCAGTTTGATTTTATAAAATATTTTGTGTTTTTGTTTTAGAAATTAGTTTTCATTTTCAGTTTTTTTTTAAATTATAAAAATTAATATAAATGAAAATTTTAATTCATAAATAAAAATAATAAAAATGTATTTAATATTTAATTTTTTTAAAATAGAAATGAACAAATAGTTATTGTATAATTAAATTATACTATAATTAATAAAAAACTTCATTGCATAAATTTAACATGTGAGTTATGCAAATATAAAATAATAAAGTTGATGAAAAAATTCATAATACAAAAAATATTTTTGTTTATAACAAGAGTATAACATTAATGCATATTTGACATCAATTAAATTTAAAAAATAAGCAAAAAATATTATTATAAGCAAGAGCAAAAAAAAAGTGTCATCAATGTGTGTGCGTGCGCGCGCACGCGTGCTACGTGTGTGCCAGAAAAAAACCAATCTAACCCGTCGACCAATAAAATCAAACGCTTATTGTCACAAGGCTTACATGACAATTCGCGAAGCTTACATGACAATATGCAATACTGATGTGACAGCTCATGATATTGTTATAGTAGCACACGATGGACGATTATGTAATAGACAAGTTTAATTACTTTTTTTTTACTAAGTTGGAGGGCATAATTTATTTTCTTAGAAAGATTGAGTACTTATTTGATTTTTAGAATAGTTAAGAAATTATTTAACTTTAAAATATAAAATACAAACAATTATTAAGATATTCAATACATTAAATATAAAAATACTATTAAAATTAAATTATTAAGAAATTCAGTCTAAGGACGACATTAAGTGTAAAAAAAATTATGGACCATATTGATCTTTTTACAAAAGTTTGAGGGCTTAATATACCATTAAATAAAAAATGTTAAAAGGATTTAAACTCGTGTAAGTTAATTTAAAAATCTAGATTTCATGTTTTACTACTTTCTAAAATTTCTAAAATAATTACAATGAAAACAGTGAAGACATATTCTTTATGTTTTCATATTTTCACTTATTTTTGTTTTCATTTTATCAAAAATTATTTTCTAATATTACAACCAAATACGTTTTCTTTCAACGTTTTTATTTTTTTAAATGTAAAAAATAAAAATAGCTTATATTTTCTAGAACCAATAACATACTCTTGGTCCTTTTATCATTCCATCGTTCCATAATTAAAATTATTATAAATATTCATTTATTTTTTTAAAAATTGTGAAAAAAGTCTCAAACGATTTTATATTTTATATGAAAATATTTAATGATTTTTTTATTTTTTTAAGATGAGACATTCTTCAAATTTCAAAAGTGGAGAGATGTAGAAGAAGATATAAATTATGTATAATGATTCCGTATTAGTTGAACGATAGAGATTATAAATAAAAATAATTATATTTTAAAGAAATTTTAAAAGATTAATATCATATAATAAGATAAATTTATTGATGTCTTATATAATTAAAAGGATATTAAAGAACGATAATTTTGAAACTAACGTGACATAATAATAACATAATCTAATCAGTATTTTCCAACTGCATCTTCCATGGACAAACATATTTTACAACAGAAATGTCTTGATGGTTCTAATGAACCGTTAAACGTCAGGTCTCTGTCTTCGACACAGGTCCCTTTGGGAACCGCTCCTTTTATCTATTCAATACTTACAGTTTACGAAGTGAATACAATCCAGCTGATAGAATACAAGGGTCTTGCTCCATTGATCTTGGCCGTTCATTGCCGCCCTGCGTAAATTGAGATAGTGAATACAAGAAAAAGAAACGAGGACAATCCACGAGGTAGTCATGTCATGGTTGATATCCAGCAACAAGCGTGGATTTCAGTGCCCCTAATAACTCAACCCAAGTGAATCACCCTCGTCAAATGAATGCACTTTTCCTTAAATAATAATAATATTTCTCTTTATTCATTTATTAATTTAGTGATTATTTTTCTTTAAATGTGTTGATTATAGGCACTCATTAATTAAAAGATTATGGATGAGTTTGGCAATTAACTGTTGAGACATTGAGTGGATTAGTGGCGTAAAATAAGGTTTAGAGAATCATTATGGTTATAATTCGGAGGATTTATGCAAGTTCTATTTTATAAAATCTATTTCAAAAGTTATGATCAACACAACAATTGAACATTAATCACGGCTTTTGTCGTTGCATGTTTGACATTTAGCATGTGCCACGCACATGCGCGACTCTATAGATATTAAGGATTCTTTATGTGAAATGTCACACAAATTATATATTATTTTTCAAAACATATCTTTAGACTATATACCTTGTAGTTAGGGATGGGCATGGAACCCGAATCCGACTTGATCAGGTCGGATTTAAAAAAAAAATCGGGTTCGAGCCGAGTCGGATTTTATATTAAAATTTCCAAAGTTGAGTTTATGGTTAAAATAATCATATCCGACGCATAATTATTTTTTTTTTTACTTTTTTACTTTCCCTAATCCTACCCTACCCGAGTCGGCATGCATCTGCACTATTCTGCAGCATCTCCTTCAAGGCTTCAAAGTTCAAACACTTATTCTGCAACATGTGCTTTTGTTCTATAAATGGAACAGGAAAGTGGGACTGAAAAGCCCATTGTTGCCTTCATTGCCAGACTGACTGCTCCTCCAGGACGGCGTCTGGGTCATGCAGGAGGTAAGGCATTGCTTTCGTGTTTTGCTTATTAGCTTTATGATTGCAGTTGTTAGTATTTTACATCTGTTGCACGATCTATTTCACAATCGAAATCGACTATTGTAAGCATGGTTGAAAAGAAAAAAAAATAAACCAGAGATTGAAATGGTTGGATCTTTGGTTCCCAGTTCAATCAGCTAAAAGGTTAGAAAATCGGGTCGGGTCGGTTTTTAATAAATAAAAATTAAAACGGGTCTGGTCGGGATTTTTAATTGTTTATCGGGTTAGGGTCGGGGTCGGGTGGAATCCTAATTTCTTCGGGTCGGGTCACGGGTGGAGGACATTTTCTTCTCGGGTCAGGTCGGATGGTCCAAAAACCCCACCCGACCCATGTCCATCCCTACTTGTAGTATATCTAGAAATATTTTTAAATGTGTATATATATATCAAGGATATAAAATTTTAAAGTATAATGAATATAAATAAAATTTCAGCGTAGACATAATTAATAATATAAATAATTAATTGAAATTTTTTAAATTTCAAGAATGTACACATATTTATCCTAATCAATGAATGGATCTTCTATGGTATAACTGTTTATATTTAATATTATCATATATAATTAATAAATATTATTATTATTTATTTAATCGATTTAAAAAAATAAAAATCTATAATTGTATAAAATAATGCATATTGTATATCCGTTAATGGGGCAGGTAGTATCCGGGGGAGTCAATAACAGTGACCCTGTTGACTCTGAGTCACTAAGGTTCAAGAACAACACCGTCCAATTGTATAATAAAATGTCGGGCTGGCGGCCCAAATGCTTGGATTTTAAGCCAGGCGGAGCATGTGCGGCGCAAGACATGCCTTCAAACAAGGAGAGACCCACATTGCCTTCTTTTATGCTACTTAATAAAAATTGTATATATGTCAGATTGAATCAAGCCCGAGTTTTATCCAAAAGATTAAGTAAAATCATATACGAGTGAGAAAGTTTAACCTTTGGATAACATTTGGATGGTTCGAAAATCCGAATGTACCCATGATCATCCATACTTTTTTCACTCTTCAAGATCTAGGGGTAAGCAAAGTGTGGGTTTTTCTATTAAACATATTTACGTAAAATATTCTGGTTGAATAAGTATATTAATTCGATTTTAACAATATTTGATCATTGTAAAAAATAATGTTAATGTAATTTAATAAATTAAATAATAATAAGACTATCGAAGATTTGATAATTTTATTTTAATAAAAATATTCGGTCGATTTTTAACTTGACCGAATAAAACCGAGATATTATACCATCTTAGAGCTATCCGTGAGTCTAATGCCCATAGTCCCATACCCATTGACACTCAAATAAAACAACCCAACCCAATCATATGCCATAATACGGGCCCTGGAAATATTATTAATTTGATTATATAGAAAATATTATTAAACCATAGATGATTTAAACATATATATTGTATAAGGGTAAATTACACCGTTCCTCACTGTACTTTGCTCTCTATCCTATTTTGCTTACTATATTTTCAATTTTTCTAATTTTGCTCATTGAACTTTACAGATTGAATCATTTTGCTCACTTTACCTTCTTTGATGGTGTTCGATTTATCCCATATTCCATGGGTCGTTCATCTCGACCCCTTAGTCCGAATCTAGTTATTATTTCACCGAAAAATATCCTAAACCCCGTGAATCTGGATTGAAATGTTTTGGCTTCCTCACTTTCATTCTCAAAATCGTGGACTTTAGAGCAAATCCCGACAAAATAGAGGTTGGATTCAGATTCACGGTGTCGAAGTGAAGCGAACCATGAAATTTGAGATTGAACGACCACCATCTGGGTGTGGTCGACGGTGACCGACAGTGACATCCCTAGTCTTTTTGTTAACGACGTTAGAGAGATAACAGGAGAGTGAGCAAATTATAAAAATTAGAAATACAATGAGTAAAATAGGAGAGAGGATAAAGTACAACGATAAACAGTGTAATTTACTCATTGTATAAATAGTAGATTGATTTAAAGTATATATTAATTTATTATCTAGACATAACTGTTTTTTAATTTATTTATTATTTTTAACAAAAATTAGTTGTTTAAAAGATAATTTAAGTGATAAAATGAGAATTTAATAATATTTTAATGTAAAAAACTAATATATATATATATATGAGTGAATTAAATTCATACTTTCATAAATTTTCATAACTTTTAAAAAAATTATAGTAATATTTTTTCTTCCGACAAAATAAAATGAGTTTTAAAATATTTGAATTTGAAATTCTTTTAGATGGTAACCAAAAATAAACAAAGAAAACAAAATGTCCAATTACACTTGTCATTGTATCAAACAGCCAACGAGGCAATTCAAAAGTTTCTAACGTTCACCTTCACCTTCCCTCTCATATCATAATGTAATATTGTTTCGAAATTCCACCACTTGTTAAATGGCGAAACTAAATTTCTTACTTAAAAATGATCGAAATTCAAAATTGTTTCCTACTGGTGATTTTTGGTGATTGCTTAGGACTTGCATTTAGGCCTGTTGTCATCGAATAATTGTTTCCTAATTTCATACCAATTAGCACATCAATCAGATACACAAGACAGGCCTGTTGTCGTCGTTCCGGCCATGGAAGAAGCCGGTTCAGCTGACATCATGCCACCACCACAAGCATTAGTCTCTCTTTCCCCGTTCTCTCCTTGCCCTCGTCGCCTTTCATCCAGATTCGCCCAGCCGAGTCGACCGGTTGTTCCTTCCGCTAGGCGGCTGGCTTGGTTTTCCCTCCAGGGGCGCCTGTTGAATGTCAAGGAAGCCAGCTCGGCTCGAGCTATAGGAGGCGGTCTGGGCCGCGAGTAGGCTTTGGCCTGGGAGCTCTTTAGTCCCATTGAAAGGTTCTTGATCGTGGCAGTTATCGGCGTGGCGACTGCTGAGTCTAAGAAGAATCGGTTGATTTGCCAACTCAAAAAATCGGTCGAGCTAAGGGTTTGTTTTCCGGTTTACTGTTTAATTTCATTAGGAATTCCACATCTATGCTACACTGTTACTCTATTGGGTTTTTTTATTTATTAATCTATGGAGTTTAGTGTTCAATTAATTCACAACGATTTGCTGTTAATCTAGTGAAGTTTTGATTCCTTTAAAATTGATTAAGAAAATATCTTCAGTGTTAAATTCCTTTGTAGCTTCTTGTATCAGTTACAAATATATTTGCTTAGCTTAATTACTTTGTAACAGTTATTAAAATTCAATTTCAGATGTATTGGATTTGATTATTTTGCTATCAATGTGTATACAAAACTCATCTCCCCTGTTGATTTTTTATTCGAATTTGAACTTTTTGTGAATCGTTTATGTGCAGAATTGTCCTGAATCGAACTGTTGATTTGCAGGATGAGGTGCTTTCAAGCATGCAGCAGAAGGTAGACAATCTATGCGAACAGCTGAATAACACCAAGAAGAAGCCGGGAACATGGGCCAAAACCGATGTAGAATCGTCATTCAGTGAAACTTTAGGATCCGGAAGTGTGCAGGTTGATGACTGTGGTTGTTGGATTTGCTATCAGCATCGAGAACAGTTAAAAGTAAGAATCCAAGTAAATTATCTTCTTTTTTCACTTGATTGAACTGATTTTATTCCCCCCTTGTTTATTGATGTGTCAGGGTAACTACATTGTGAAAAACTCGGGTGGGAGTGAGACGGCATTGCCAACTGAGACGGAACATGAGGAGCGTCGCATGTCTGATTTGTCGGACTTGGCTTCAAGTGTCACATCTGCATCTGAAATCCAGGTGATGGAGTATTTACGTCTTTTGTATTGCCGAAATCCTATTTATGTTCATTGCCAACAGCTTCAACATTTCTTTAGTTTGATGTCGTGTATGCTGTTTTGCAGCTGAACAACCTTGCTGTAGAACAAGATGTCTTCAATCTTAAGAGGGAATGCGAAGAGAAGGATGCGATCATAAAGGAGCTAAACACTTGTGTCCTGTCATCCAATATGGCTAGTTTGAAGGTAATTTTCATTTTTGTTCACCTTTTTTCACTTGCTAAACTTTGCCCTTCAGTTTCTTCGAGTGTAAGAGATTTCTGATAACAGAGGATATCGGAGATGGAGGACATCATACGCAGAAAGAACACGATAATTACTCGATTGAAGAAGGACGTGATGTTTCTAGAACAAAAGGTGAGTAGTTCTTTGCTAGTCTTAAGGACTGATAGTTGCATTATCCTGAATTTTCAATCATGCAGGTTGTCCACCTGACTAGGCTTCAGAGACCTTCCTCCTCTACCTCAAGTCCAAACTGTTGGCAAGTTCCATCCATGACAGATAACCTCATTTACGACATGGATAGTACCACTAGTGCTTCGTCATCTGATTCCGATTCGCCCCCTAAGAACCGTCCGCAAGCTCCGGTTCCCAAAGCTGAGGATGTTAGTTTCGAGAATAATGACATTGATTTAAAGAAAAAACAGAAATCAGCACCTGCAAAAGTACGGAGCTCCTTTACGAGACAAGCCGAATGCCATCCGATGCCTGAACCAGCTACTCCGTTAAGAGAAATATCAATGAATCACAAGTCTAAACCACCGTCTTCGAGGCATAGGCAAGTACCGACTAGTCAAGATTCAAAGAGAATTAAGAAGCAAACTCCAAGTGTGCCCAAAGATTCTATCCTGAGGAAGAGATGGTCTTAGTAAGTACTTAGAAACTAGATGGTTTAATAGGCTTTAACTGGCAGTTTGACTCTCTGTCCTAATACTTCATTTCTAACTGTTATAAATTTTAATACATAATATCTTATAAGTTTATTTTTTATATATAACTACCTATAATTAATTATTTATTTATTTCTAATTAATAATTACATAGACCTATAATGAGATCACTCATCTAATCTAAATTTATCCATTTATGACACTATAATTTAAATTCCTTACCTAAATGAATTTAACCGTATCGTCCCGATAAATCAACTTAGCGTTGATTACAAATATATTTAATGAATAATTATTCTCATAGAGAAAATGTTGTTATTCGTTCGATCTTCTTAGATTTCAAGTTTTAATTAAATAACTACAATATATGCTGCCTTTCGATCTTAATATATACATTTATAGTAAATAAGGAAAATTAAGAGAAATTACGTATCTTTTATTAATTTCCGCTTAAATGCTCAATCCTTTTATTTATCTAAATTTAAAGAAAAGTTATGAGGAAAGTAAAAAGAAAAGATTTTTTAAGAATATGTTTGTGTACCATTATTTTTATGTAAATTATTTAACCAAATAAATACAGTTGAAATTACTTTATCATTTAATAAAGAATATAAATTACTTTACTCTTTTATCCTAATTTAAACCATTCAAAGAAGATATATGGTACTATGATAATTCGTATTATTTTAGTTTTTTTCCTCTTCACTCGGTAATTTATGGAAATATTGAGTTTAGGTAATTATTCTTATTTTATATATTTCCTTACTATATTGATAATTTTCAACTTCTTATCATAATAATTAATTTATAAATTTATTTCTTTATTTATTATTTTGAAAATAATATATATACGCATTTACATAATTCAGTTTTAGCCAAAGTTTTATTGCAGTTTGGTGTGCCAAGTGATAATGGCGTCTAACCCTAAGAACAACTTGTGGAAGAAGTTGGTTTCATCACTTCAGTCAAAGATGAAACTTCTGAAGAAACCCACGACCCACCAAACCATCACCGATCAACATCGTCGAAAACAATCGAAGCCGAAAACGATCTTGTTAGTAGGCAATGTGACCTATGCCAAACTCTCTTCGGATGGTGTCATTGATCTCGACGTGGAGAAAGAAGTTGCCCCACGTAAGGTTATAGGCTACAGGGAGCAACTCGTTCATACAACTACGTCGGAGGTTGAGTTTTCTAGTGGCAACGACGGTGGTAAAGATAAAAAACCGGACAATCGAACTGACAGTGATCGCATTCTCTCGTCAAACGAAATCGATGCAAAAGCCGAGGAATTCATCAACCGGTTCAAGGAAGTTTGGAGGCTTGAGAAAGAGAAGTCGAACGAGGAATATTTTGCGATGTTGGCTCGTGGAGCATAATTCAAGATTCGAATACAAATATTTTTGAATAACACGTTTTTAATTTTCTTAAAAAACCGACGTTTATTTAAGTCGATTGAATTCGAATAATGATACTTAGTTTTATGATTATGAATTTTTACTCAAATCAAACTATGTATATGAAGTTTGTTTTAATTTTCATTTTCTTTAATTATTTTTGTATAATAAATAAATATGAAATGAGATCATGTCGTAATAATTTTAATGAATTATGAAAATTAAATTAGGAAATTGTATATAATTAAAGTGAATCAAAATCAAATCCATTTATAGTTTTAAAACTAATGGGAGATCAAAATTAAATTAAGAAAGTACATATATTTGTCATTTTCCTTGTTTTTGTAATTTTAATGGAAATTTCATAATGGCTAAAATTTTTATAATAAATTCAAATCCTTTTTTTTAAAACAAAATCGTTTATTTTTTTACTTCTGGCCAAATAGAAAAAGTGAAAAAGATATATAGAATATTAGAATTTAAATAAAATGAAAAAATTTATATAATTTTAGATATATTACATTCTCCCCAAATTTGAGGGATATTGTTTTTAATATCAAAACCAAGTTTTATTTTTTCCCATTTTTGTTGAATTTCCTCTTAATTTTAGTTCAACTCTTTTATTTTACTGATATTAAACCCAAGTTTATAGTTAAACAAATTAAAATGACATGATTTACTTATCGATCTAAATAAGTATAAGATACTTATAAGTCTGTTTATTTTAATATCATATGTTTTGTCTATAACTTTATATTTTAAGGATTTTAGATTTTGAATTCGAATACATAAAGTTACATAAAATTTAATTATACTATATATATATATATATATATATATATATATATATATATATATATTCTTTGAGTTAATTGCATCACAAGTCCTCAAAGTATGATTCTCATCTTAAATTGATCACTAAACTTTTAAATGTTCCAATTTCATCCCTAAAGTATGACTATCATTTTAAATTAGTCCTCAAACTTTTTAATATTTCAATTTCATCCCCAAACTATGACTTTCATTCTAAATAGGTTCCCAAAATTTTTAAACATTTTAATTTCATCCCAAACTATATATATATACTAATCACATCACTTGTTAATAAAATCATAAGGCCGAGTTATATTATTGTATGTTTGAAAAAAATAGAACTATGGTTTAAACTAACTACATATTTGGATGAATTTGGAATATTCAAAAGTTTGGGGACTAATTTAGAAAAAGTGTCATAGTTTAGGGATGCAATTAAAATGTTAAAAGGTTTAAGGGCTAATTTAGAATGAGAGTTATAGTTTGGGGATGAAATTGGATTATTAAAAATTTAAAGACTAATTTAAAGGGAGAGTTATAGTTTTGGGACATATGATGCAGTTAACTTTTATTCTTTAAATAATGATAATAATTAATAACAAAAATATTATATTACAAAATTTTGAGAGAAACAAAGAAAGGAAAAATTTTCTAATTTTCAGGAGAAATCTTTTCTTTCCCGTTATATGATTTAGCAATATTTTATGCCATATTTAATTTATGGCTTATATCACAAATAAACACCTAAAGCATGTAACCTTTTTCTTTTAGATTATTAAAGTATTTTTTTATTAAAACAAATACTTAAAGTTTCAATTTGTGAATATTTTAAATTTAGAATTAACGTCAGTTAAAAAACACACAAACCAATAAAAAGATGACAAATTTCATGTTAAATAATTACATAAAAATTAAAGAAAAATAAATTAAATGTAAAAAATATTGAAACTTTTAAACCGACTGATTTTTTTGTGTTTTGTTCTTTTGTTGAAGCAAGAAAGGGTAAGGGAAGTCATGGCTGAGCGTTTTTTCCGGAAAATTATCGGTGATCGGTATATTTATCGATCTAATATCGATCAGATTATATTTTCCGATCTAACATCATTTGCAGTAAAGCGCGCCCTTGCACCGCGCTATATGTTGATTTGGCACCACGTGGGGTAAGGCGCGCCCTCTGCACCGCGCTATATGCTGACATGAAATACATGTAAGTATAGCGCGACCCCTGGAGCGCGCCTTACGCCACGTAGGGTATAGTGCGGGTCAAGGGTCGTGCCTTACCTTTAATTCTCTGACATAATTATATATAGCGTGGGGCAGGGGCCGCGTCATACCTTTAACTGATATAATTATATAAGGCGCGGTGCAGGTACCACACCTTGTATAATTATAGCAACTTTTCTCGGCTATAAATACCCTTCTCCCCCGGTTAAGTTCCTCACATCTCTCCTCTCAACTTATAAATTAATACAATAATTTCGTCAATGAGACAATAATTCTGACAATTTCCTCATATTTAATTCAGAAGTTCGTGCGATTTTTCATTATAAGATAATTTTATGATAAATTTTTTATTATACTTATTGTTTATTATGATTATTTGAAAAAATATTATACTAATTGTTGTCAATTAATTTATGTGTTTGTAAAATTAGAAAGCGGAAATATACGTCGAAATAGTTTTGCAGTACATGTAATAATATAAAATTATATTATTTAAATTATTTACATTTATGTGTAAAAAATTTATTCTGTTATATTTTCGTTCATATATTATTTATTTATTTAACATTGTTTCAGTTTTTTTTTCCAGATATAATATTGTCACACTTTTAAACTCAAAGAATGTTGCGACTTTCAGCTATTGTTTATTATGATGGTGAAATTCGAGAAGATGAAATCGGCGTTGTTTTTGTATCAAATGAGCGTGTTAAAATATCATTGAAGAGAAACATAACTCTTGAGGAGCTAATAACGAAGATTTCGAGGAAGATTCATGTTGAAAGTAGTAGAAGAATGTCGTCGTTGTAGTATAGATTTCCAACATCATTGTTTCCATTAACTTATACAGTGTTCAAACTTTTGAACAATGATGATGTTGAAATGATGGTTAAAGCTCAAAGTAATTATTCAGACGCCGATATTGAGATGTATGCAAATTTTATTCAAGTGCGTGCCGTTCGGGGTCAATCATTAAGCTCCCACTATGGGCTGGCTGAACAAGTTGATCAAGTTGATAACCCGACGACAGTAATGTGTAATGATTTTAATGTCATAATAGGGAGACATTCATCCGCAACTCCTTACAATATGTACCGAGGTCGGTCGACGAATAATCCGTATGGCAGCATCGTGTCCAATTCAAGGGGAAGACATTCATCTGCAAATCTGTTTGACCTTAATATGGAGATGCCATCGACGCAACCATCTGTGCAGATTCTATTTGACACGATGGCTTCAAACTCCAGGGGGAGGCATTTGACTGCGAGTTTTTTCGATCTCAATGTCGATATGCCTTCTAGTTCAAGGGAAGACGTGCAAGTAGTAGGTTCTTCGACCTAAATGTGGAGCGCATGGATGAACCATCATCTCCACCAGAAGAATCGCTTCGTGAGCCTGGTGCGGATAGTGCTGAGACTGGACTATTCATTCACCCATAATCACCGCAATCCAACTCCGATGATGATGAAGTTCCAGGAAATGTGGCACAAACTGACCCTCCTGCACACATGTATGAAGCTGATTATGATGCAATATACGAGCCAGAATTTGCGGATATGCCTCATCTCGGTG